GGCAAACTATTTATTTGATCGTTCAAATATTGATGACTTGCGTGACAGAGAAAATGATATCTAGTAAATTAAGGTGTCAGAATGTGAGTAAAACAGGCAGTCAAAGGCGTGGCAGGCTCATGTTAAGAGTATATATATCATAAGATTAAAGTGACGTAACGGAAATTTTTTTGCTTTATTTCAATACCGTAAACATTATTGGTATTTAAGAGTTCTTTATCATATTATATAGAGCCGTACTCGCGCGAGTCTAACGTTTCAATAATTGTCCCTGTTTCCAAAGGTTCATGAAAGGATAAACTATTTTTTTAATGCATGTACTATATAGCGCAGTAGAGTTAGGGCGATTTCCTGGGTTTTAATAGATTATTATTTATTTGTATTGGGACCGGCACAACATTTTTACTAAAGTAAAACAAATTACATATAAACAAAAATAAAAAAACTTCTGTGTCCCGATCAGAGGAAATTACTACTTATGTATATGTACATATGTCCCGACTAACAGCAAGCCGTGATCAGAAAGGCATTTGGAATTACACTACAAGAGCCAATCATCGATATATTTAATTACTTGTACGTCGTTAATTTAAGCGACCCATCAAAACTATTTATGAAAATTCGCCTCCATTTCAGAATTTAAGGATTGTGCTTATGTGTGTACGTTGTATTTACTTCTTATGTATAAATATAAATTCGCAGAGCTGGCCGCTGGTTGATGACTTGTATGCTGAATAGCTTAGGCTTACTGTACAAAAACCACAACAAACAAAGCTGACACAGCAAAACTCAGTTTTTAGCATTTTGGATCATTCTGCAATATACATTTGCCACATATGTTGCCGTAGCAGATATTGTACAAGTACAAACATACATACGTACATAGTATGTATATATATACGAAGATAACTATATATTTGTGTTTGTATGATGATTTCAAAAACTTTTGATGGCTGATAAACAAAACTGGGTAGACACAATACTCACCCCATTATGCAGATAACCATTATTCCGATTGATGTCCATATTTGTACGTGCCCCCGGCATGTTTGTTGCTGCAGCCTCCACAGCGCTGAGATCGATTTGTGGCTTCCGCTCCGTGTAGATTGGCGCCAAACTGCGTAACGAGAAGAACTCTTGTTCTTGGGGCACCAAAGTTGATGGCTTCTGTTGCTTCAGCCGGCGTCCAAATATGGGCGACTTTTTGGCACCAAGTATACCCAATGAATCGGCGCTCAGCGGTCGATGCTTGTGCTCCTCAGGCCAGCTATTGTTGTCGCCGTCACCGTCGCCGTCGCCACCAATCGAGTTGGAGCAGCTGCCCTTAACTGTGGAGCCCGTCCACTGGGCGTGGGTGTAGAAGTGGAACGGTAGTGAACGGTTTGGCCTCTGTTTGTGACAGTCCAGGCAAGCGCAGCTCGTCGTGCTGCACGAACTCTTGTCTCCGCTCGAAAGCGTTTTGGGACTAGGCGCGGTCAAGGGATCGCAGGGGCTGCAGCGACCGGCTGAAGTTGAGACAACGGGATGTATGACGCTAGTGGCCATGCAAATGGGGGCGGTTGGGAGGCTGAAGCTGCCACTTATGTGCGTGTGTTATTGCTCTTTGGACTTTGAAAAATTGCTGGCTGGATGTCAATGTTATTGTCTGACTTGCTTTGTATATTTTATCAACACACACACACACACGCGCACACACTCACTCCCTCAAGGTCATTCGCACTCGCTTTATCTACGCGCGGTTGGTTGTGGCGCACGCTCAGCGTTGATTGGAGTTGTTTCTGGCCAAGTGTTTTGTCTAACTATTTCGGCCGGAATGTGTTTGTTTGTATACAATAACGAGATAGGTTTGTATAGTATATTTATTCATTTGACAACTGCACGAGCTTCGACTCAACATGTGGTTGTTTTCAATTCTTAGTGTCTCTCTGTCTTCCACTCTCTTTGTTTTAACGGTAATTAAAGCGCTCGTAGCGACGGCGACAGCTTATCAGAAATGCATTTAATACCCGAACAATTTCTTGCACTTTTGGACTAAGCAAGCCGCAAAATAATTGCACAGGTTATCTGTGATCCGGGCTATAGAGTTTATTGAACTCACGAATTTTCCTGCGTCCACTGAAAGGGGTTTTGACCACTTGCTCAATTCTCGAGCACTTGAAAAACAGTAGTGTAAACAAAAAGGCGCAAATGTACGTACATCGAAGAAAAACTGGTTTATGCTTGACTTAAGCCAAGATCTGGAGTATTTAATTGTCAAACAATTCCCTTGAGCTCTCTGTGGTAGAAACCGCGCATAAATTACATAAGCTTTTTAATTTAGTTGTCTTTATCGCTTTTGTTATTTCTTCGTGCTCCCTTTTTAACGTAAATTAAATTCACACACGTATAAAACTAAGACGCACGACGTATGCAAAAACAAAATCAACAACAGTAATAACTAACAGCCCGACGAGGCACGACGACCGCTCGCAGTCGACTTCAATTGTAAACTGAACTGAACCGCACGAAAGCTAAGGCATGAGCTTTTTATACCCTGTACCCGTAGGGTAAAAAGGGTATATTAGGTTTGAGCAAAGTATGTAACATACAGAAGGAAGCATCTCCGACCCCATAAAGTACATATATTCTTAATCAGCATGACGAGAGAAATCGATCTAGACATGTCCGCCCGCCTGTCCGTCTGGATGAACGCAAGGATCCCAGAAACTATAAAAGCTAGAATAACCAAAGTTGGCACCCAGATTCTCCTAGGTCCGAGTAAGGACGTGTTTATTTAATTTTTTTAAATATTCCCCCCCTTCCCCCGCTACAGAATTTCAATAGCGTCCACATTTCAAATGCTACCTAAACCAAACTTTGCACACATAATTTATATATAATTGTCTACTGTTGTTCGAAATTCAATTCGGTCAATTCTAAGAAAAGTTATTAGCAAAACAAATTCTCGCCAGTACAACACCCCCCCCCCCCCCCCCAAACTGCAGCAACAAGTTCGCTCTTCTTCTTCCTTTTTTTGCTGCTGCTATGGGCGCATATAACTCAGTGACGGAAGTTTACCTGGGTACAGGGTATTACACTGTCGGGCTTGCTCGACTGTAGCGTTCTCTCTTGTTTATTTAACAGCAGCGCCAGCGGCAGTTACCGTTGAACGAACAGCTATTTTACAGAAGCGTATTAACCGCTAAATGGTCCCCAATGGGTACAAAAGTAGAGTTTATTCGCAGGCTCCTCATAGAAAATGCATTTTGAACACTTAAAGCACGATTTGTTTTTTAAATGTTTGCAGAGTAGAGTTTTGCAAATGTATGTAACAGGCAAAAAAGAATGTACATATGTATGTAAGAATGGAAGTACGTACATCTGATTACATAGTACATACATACAATGTACATGCAGAGGTATTTTGTGCAACAGAGGAACTCACATTAATCAAACTTGATATGTTATTATGCGTTTATATTAGTTTGTTGACCGAACAACTTGATGTACGCCATTAATTTGACTCGATTATTGTTTTCCATCTAAAAGTATTAACATTTTAAGCAAAAAAGTACGCAAAATGTTTTAACTCTCGACAATCACTTTAGTTTGTTAACATTATTGCCGCACTAGGCAATGCGAGCTGCTACTACTTGTATCTATCTAGAAACTGTTACACAATTATTTGTAGAATCAGCAGATATATGTATGTCTGTACTTTCAATATTAACTGAATATTTCACCATAAAAATGATTTGATCCTGTTGGATTGTTTGACAATCGTTTAAGCCAGTGATAGCAAAAATAAAATAAACTCGTCCTTTCTCGGACCTAGGAGAATCTGGGTACCAACTTTGGTTATTCCAGCTTTTGTAGTTTCTGAGATCTTCGCGTTCATCCAGACGGACGGACGGACATGTCTAGATCGATTTCTCTCGTCATGCTGATTAAGAATATATGTACTTTATGGGGTCGGAGATGCTTCCTTCTGTATGTTACATACTTTGCTCAAACCTAATATACCCTTTTTACCCTACGGGTACAGGCTATAAAAATACGTGTACAACACATTTGGCGCCTGTCTTAACGCTTTTAGCAAATAACAACTACAAATATCCAACGAAAATGGAATTTCTTTTACTACGATTGGTACATAAGCTTGTCTACATAGTTTACTGATTAGGATAAAATTTCAGATTATAGTGAGGTACTATTAAAAACTTATAAATATCAAATTTACTTAAAATATCCTTAACAAGAGACTTATTGGTTTAAAACAATAATTTTATTTTCTATTTAAATTAAAATTATCGACTTCGAATGTGCTTTTGGGTTCTTACCATCATTGTGATAAGATTCGCTGATATGACTAGATCAGATATTGTAAATTAGCGTATATTGGAACCCCAATAGCAGAAGCTAGCTTGAGGCTTCCGTAATATGTAAGAAAGAATTTATAAAATTATGTGATATTTTTATTACTACATACATACATATGTACGTACAATTTACAAAATATTTAAAACTATATAGTTAGACCACTTAGCATGTTAAATGATGCAAAATCTGCCAACAGCCAACCCAACAACAGCCTGAAGTGAAACAGAGCTTGATCTTTCCGGAAGATCAAACCGTATTAATAGCAACTACATTATCTTACATAATAGACAGACATAAGCGCTTAATGTTGTGCATATCGGTAGACTGTTTATACAAGTTTACTCTTAAACAATAGGCATGTACAGAGGTATCAATAAATTTTTCATAATAAATACATTGTATTTATGACTGCAACTAGAAACCGAAAATATTCCTATTTTGCTATATTGTAACAATATTGTAGATGCCATCGGGAATTACGTTAATCCGAAGCATGTTTGCAATTTTATTTAATTACATACATGAGCAGTTATCTATTACATTATTGTTGTATTTAATTACGTGACAATGGTATATAAAAGTGGTGACCAAACTTAGCTGCTCCAATTGTTAGTTTTTTTTCCAAGCACCTGAAAATGTGGATGTGTGTGGGGACATTACTGCTCTTAGGAATAGCTTCTATTAATGTGCTCGCAGCAGACTACGAAATGATCCTGGAGGATCCGGAAATATTCAACGATTGTTCAGACGCCCCACCCGGTGCATTGGATGTACATGGAATGTTTGATTTGGAGCACTTAACGTTAACACTAGATGGAGATATAGTTCATGTGAAGGGCAATGTAACCACCATTTGGGATGTGCAACCTGGCGATCGTGTTGCGGTAAATTTTGAGGACTAGTTAGATTCTTGACGCACCATTTTCAAAAATCGTTCCAGGCCTCAGCATCTTTGTACCATTTTGAACGAGGAGCTTGGGAACCCACTGTTTTCAGCATGAGTCATCAAAATTTCTGTAGCGTTCTGTTTGATGAAGACCAGTATTGGTACAAATTTTGGAGTCAATATGTTACCAACCGAAATGACGTAGAAAAGAAGTGCCTTAATACTCCTGGCGTAAGATATTTGGTCGTCATTAGATGTATATGTGGTTAATGCTCTGTTTTACAGACCGTCCTGGCTCATGAACCATTCGATGTAAAACTGATTTTAAATAATATTCGTAGCACCACGATGAGCGGACGCTATAAGATGGTGGTAATGTTTGAGGCTTTTGATGAGAAAAATTTGAAGCGGGACAACAGCATATGTTTTGAAATTAGAGGTGAATTAGAAAAACTATAACATTTGTAAGTCAAATATTAAAAAATGCGAACAGCATGAGTATATAAATAGATTTACTTGTAGTTCACAATTCATAAACGACCGTATGTAGCTTAAAAATTTGAAAATATTTAATATTTAAGATAAAAATGCAGCATGGCTTTGGCCCGCCGAAGCAAATTCTCCAGACCGTGTTTTAATATACTTTTGATTGTTTTGATAAATATTGTAGTTCCAGCATAGTATATTAATAAATCAGCAGAAACACTTATGCAAACGAGTAAATTAGCGAATCGGAATCCTCAACAAAACTCAAACCACACTTAAAAATCAGCAATTTTAAAGACAAATAAAAGAAGTTAGAAAGATTAAGTACAGGTGCAGTCGATACAAAATCATTAATTGCGTGGCAAAATATACATATGTACATGTAAACTATAAATTGTTCGTGTTTCATTTGTTGTACCTGACGCGCGCTTCAGGTAAAACCCAAAGACTAAACAAGAAAGAAACGCTAGAGTCGAGTGGGTTCAGTTCTTAAATACCCTGTACCCACTCCGACAAAAAAGAAATAATAATAATTAATAAAATGAAAAGAATGCTAAAGTAAAGCAGGATCAACTCTCCTGTACCTCCCACCAAAAAGGTAAAAAAAATTCTAATTAATTAATAAAAATTATTTAATTTAATTAAATACAAATTATTCAGTACATATGTATATACATATACATATCATGATGAATCTTGGCACACGGATATATAACAACAAACTGGATGAATATACCAAATTAAACAGAAGTGCAGGAGTTATGAATACGAATTGCGGGGGAGTGGGAGGATGTATCAGAAAAAAAAACACAAACTCGTCCTTTCTCGGACTTACTTTGTGGGGTCTGCCACGCCCCTTTCTGTATGTTACATACATTCGCACAAAACTAGTATAGCCTTTCACCCTTTGGGTACAGGCTATAAATAGACGAGGGCGCCAACAATATTTTAATTTAATTTTTCAGAAATTTCACAACTTAATTTCACAATATTATTATTTAATTTTCGAAAAAGTTCAAAATTTAATTGTCGATTTGCCAACGCTTAGGTACTTGGTATGAGAATCGCAGAGGACGGCGCCCACAATATTTTAATTTAATTTTTCAGAAATTGCACAACTTAATTTCACAATATTATTATTTACTTTTTGAAAAAGTTCATAATTTAATTCTCGATTTGCCAGCGCTTAAGTACTTGGTATGAGAATCGCAGAGGAGGGCGCCCACTATATTTTAATTTAATTTTTCAGAAATTGCACAACTTTATTTTCACAATATTATTATTTAATTTTTGAAAAAGTTCAAAATTTAATTCTCGATTTGCCAACTCTTAGGTACTTGGTATGAGAATCGTAGAGGACGGCGCCCACAATATTTTAATTTAATTTTTCAGAAATTGCACAACTTAATTTCACAATATTTTTATTTAATTTTTCAGAAATTTCACAATTTAATTCTCGATTTGCCAGCGCTTAGGTACTTGGTATGAGAATCGCAGAGGACGGCGCCCACAATATTTGAATTTAATTTTTCAGAAATTGCACAACTTAATTTCACAATATTTTTATTTAATTTTTCAGAAATTTCACAATTTAATTCTCGATTTGCCAGCGCTTAGGTACTAGGTAGGAGAATCGCAGACGACGGCGCCCACAATATTTTAATATAATATTTCAGAAATTGCACAACTTAATTTCACAATATTATTATTTACTTTTTGAAAAAGTTCAAAATTTAATTCTCGATTTGCCAGCGCTTAAGTACTTGGTATGAGAATCGCAGAGGAGGGCGCCCACTATATTTTAATTTAAATTTTCAGAAATTGCACAACTTAATTTCACAATATTATTATTTAATTTTTGAAAAAGTTCAAAATTTAATTCTCGATTTGCCAGCGCTTAGGTACTAGGAATGAGAATCGCAGAGGACGGCGCCCACAATATTTTAATATAATATTTCAGAAATTGCACAACTTAATTTCACAATATTTTTATTTAATTTTTCAGAAATTTCACAATTTTATTCTCGATTTGCCAGCGCTTAAGTACTTGGTATGAGAATCGCAGAGGAGGGCGCCCACTATATTTTAATTTAAATTTTCAGAAATTGCACAACTTAATTTCACAATATTATTATTTAATTTTTGAAAAAGTTCAAAATTTAATTCTCGATTTGCCAGCGCTTAGGTACTAGGAATGAGAATCGCAGAGGACGGCGCCCACAATATTTTAATATAATATTTCAGAAATTGCACAACTTAATTTCACAATATTTTTATTTAATTTTTCAGAAATTTCACAATTTTATTCTCGATTTGCCAGCGCTTAAGTACTTGGTATGAGAATCGCAGAGGAGGGCGCCCACTATATTTTAATTTAAATTTTCAGAAATTGCACAACTTAATTTCACAATATTATTATTTAATTTTTGAAAAAGTTCAAAATTTAATTCTCGATTTGCCAGCGCTTAGGTACTAGGAATGAGAATCGCAGAGGACGGCGCCCACAATATTTTAATATAATATTTCAGAAATTGCACAACTTAATTTCACAATATTTTTATTTAATTTTTCAGAAATTTCACAATTTAATTCTCGATTTGCCAGCGCTTAGGTACTTGGTATGAGAATCGCAGAGGACGGCGCCCACAATATTTGAATTTAATTTTTCAGAAATTGCACAACTTAATTTCACAATATTTTTATTTAATTTTTCAGAAATTTCACAATTTTATTCTCGATTTGCCAGCGCTTAAGTACTTGGTATGAGAATCGCAGAGGAGGGCGCCCACTATATTTTAATTTAAATTTTCAGAAATTGCACAACTTAATTTCACAATATTATTATTTAATTTTTGAAAAAGTTCAAAATTTAATTCTCTATTTGCCAACGCTTGGGTACTTGGTATGAGAATCGCAGAGGAGGGCGCCCACAATATTTGAATTTAATTTTTCAGAAATTGCACAACTTAATTTCACAATATTTTTATTTACTTTTTGAAAAAGTTCAAAATTTAATTCTCGATTTGCCAGCGCTTAAGTGCTTGGTATGAGAATCGCAGAGGGGGGCGCCCACAATATTTTAATTTAATTTTTCAGAAATTGCACAACTTAATTTCACAATATTTTTATTTAATTTTTCAGAAATTTCACAACTTAATTCTCGATTTGCCAGCGCTTAGGTACTAGGTATGAGAATCGCAGAGGACGGCGCCCACAATATTTTAATTTAATTTTTCAGAAATTGCACAACTTAATTTCACAATATTTTTATTTAATTTTTCAGAAATTTCACAATTTAATTCTCGAATTGCCAGCGCTTAGGTACTAGGTATGAGAATCGCAGAGGACGGCGCCCACAATATTTTAATTTAAATTTTCACAAATTGCACAATATTATTATTTAATTTATGAAAAAGTTCAACATTTAATTCTCGATTTGCCAGCGCTTAGGTACTAGGTATGAGAATCGCAGAGGACGGCGCCCACAATATTTTAATTTAATTTTTCAGAAATTGCACAACTTAATTTAACAATATTTTTATTTAATTTATGAAAAAGTTCAACATTTAATTCTCGATTTGCCAGCGCTTAGGTACTAGGTATGAGAATCGCAGAGGACGGCGCCCACAATATTTTAATTTAATTTTTCAGAAATTGCACAACTTAATTTCACAATATTTTTATTTAATTTTTCAGAAATTTCACAATTTAAGCGCTTAAGTACTTGGTATGAGAATCGCAGAGGAGGGCGCCCACAATATTTGAATTTAATTTTTCAGAAATTGCACAACTTAATTTCACAATATTTTTATTTAATTTTTCAGAAATTTCACAACTTAATTCTCGATTTACCAGCGCTTAGGTACTAGGTATGAGAATCGCAGAGGACGGCGCCCACAATATTTTAATTTAATTTTTCAGAAATTGCACAACTTAATTTCACAATATTTTTATTTAATTTTTCAGAAATTTCACAATTTAATTCTCGAATTGCCAGCGCTTAGGTACTAGGTATGAGAATCACAGAGGACGGCGCCCACAATATTTTAATTTAAATTTTCACAAATTGCACAACTTAATTTCACAATATTATTATTTAATTTATGAAAAAGTTCAACATTTAATTCTCGATTTGCCAGCGCTTAGGTACTAGGTATGAGAATCGCAGAGGACGGCGCCCACAATATTTTAATTTAATTTTTCAGAAATTGCACAACTTAATTTAACAATATTTTTATTTAATTTATGAAAAAGTTCAACATTTAATTCTCGATTTGCCAGCGCTTAGGTACTAGGTATGAGAATCGCAGAGGACGGCGCCCACAATATTTTAATTTAATTTTTCAGAAATTGCACAACTTAATTTCACAATATTTTTATTTAATTTTTCAGAAATTTCACAATTTAATTCTCGATTTGCCAGCGCTTAGGTACTTGGTATGAGAATCGCAGAGGACGGCGCCCACAATATTTGAATTTAATTTTTCAGAAATTGCACAACTTAATTTCACAATATTTTTATTTAATTTTTCAGAAATTTCACAATTTAATTCTCGATTTGCCAGCGCTTAGGTACTAGGTAGGAGAATCGCAGACGACGGCGCCCACAATATTTTAATATAATATTTCAGAAATTGCACAACTTAATTTCACAATATTATTATTTACTTTTTGAAAAAGTTCAAAATTTAATTCTCGATTTGCCAGCGCTTAGGTACTAGGTATGAGAATCGCAGAGGACGGCGCCCACAATATTTTAATTTAATTTTTCAGAAATTGCACAACTTAATTTCACAATATTTTTATTTAATTTTTCAGAAATTTCACAATTTAATTCTCGAATTGCCAGCGCTTAGGTACTAGGTATGAGAATCGCAGAGGACGGCGCCCACAATATTTTAATTTAAATTTTCACAAATTGCACAACTTAATTTCACAATATTATTATTTAATTTATGAAAAAGTTCAACATTTAATTCTCGATTTGCCAGCGCTTAGGTACTAGGTATGAGAATCGCAGAGGACGGCGCCCACAATATTTTAATTTAATTTTTCAGAAATTGCACAACTTAATTTAACAATATTTTTATTTAATTTATGAAAAAGTTCAACATTTAATTCTCGATTTGCCAGCGCTTAGGTACTAGGTATGAGAATCGCAGAGGACGGCGCCCACAATATTTTAATTTAATTTTTCAGAAATTGCACAACTTAATTTCACAATATTTTTATTTAATTTTTCAGAAATTTCACAATTTAAGCGCTTAAGTACTTGGTATGAGAATCGCAGAGGAGGGCGCCCACAATATTTGAATTTAATTTTTCAGAAATTGCACAACTTAATTTCACAATATTTTTATTTAATTTTTCAGAAATTTCACAATTTAATTCTCGATTTGCCAGCGCTTAAGTACTTGGTATGAGAATCGCAGAGGACGGCGCCCACAATGTTTTAATTTAATTTTTCAGAAATTGCACAACTTAATTTCACAATATTATTATTTAATTTTTGAAAAATTTCAAAATTTAATTCTCGATTTGCCAACGCTTAAGTACTTGGTATGAGAATCGCAGAGGAGGGTGCCCACAATATTTTAATTTAATTTTTCAGAAATTGCACAACTTAATTTCACAATATTTTTATTTAATTTTTCAGAAATTTCACAATTTAAGCGCTTAAGTACTTGGTATGAGAATCGCAGAGGAGGGCGCCCACAATATTTTAATTCAATTGATCAGAAATTTAACAATTTTATTTCACAATATTATTATTTAGTTCTTCAGAAATTTAAAGGAAGTTATGGCCATATATGCTGTTTCTGCTCAAGCGCTGCCGCCCAGCTGTGTCCGGAAATGTCCACTTAGGGTGTTTTCACTGTAGTGGACAATCATAAAATAATTAAAGACGAAACACATGTTGCTTTAACTAAAAAGTGTCAGCATAAGTAACTTAACTCCAGCTACATACTCTCAAAAGAGGAAAGATGTGGAAGTTCTCATGATCAGGTATGCTCGACTTTAAGACTCACTAACTAAACTTTTTTTTAAATTTTTTATGCTTTTAAACACATATGTATCTCTATCAAAGCCAAGATATGAATTCGTTTGTTTTTTTATTAAATTAAAATAAGAACACACACGTATAGAATAAAGAAGCCATAATTTGTTTGCATATACTATACAACATATACAAATACAAAACTAGTATAGCCTTTCACCCTTTGGGTACAGGCTATAAAAGGAGCAAAGAGGGTAATTCATATGAACGCAAGGATCTCCCTTCTATGTTGATTTTTTTTTTATACACCTTGGTTTTCCCACTCTATCCATGATTTTCCATAGCTGCCGTAATTCTAGGAATTTCAAATTTTAATTTGGTAAGTACATTTTAGTTTGTGGTTATGCGTCCGTTTGTTAGGTTTCATCATGATCCGCCGAAATTTATAGTCATTAATGTAATCTCTGCCCGCAGCTGTTGCTGCTGCTTTGATTTAATTAAACACGCAAAGACATGATTCTGCTGTAATTGTATGCTGTCGAAACTGTACATAAACATATGTACTTACTACTTACGTATGTATGTATTGAATATTAAAAATAATTTAACAACCTAATTTAATTAATTTAAAATTTCTTATTTGGGTGTGAGCGCAGGGCATCTAAGAGTTGAGCCCGCTCGACTCTTCCTTTCTTGTTACAAAGCGAAAGATAAAATAATATTCTATTGGAAAATTAATTCGATCTACCGTATTTTGAATAAGCTTTTATACAAAAACATTGCTGCAAGGATCTCAAAATTTTAAAAACTGGAATAACAAAAGTTGGTGTCCAGAGTCTCCTAGGTCCGTGATTAAGAACTAAATATATTTATATACTCATGTTGTTCGTATTTTATTTAATGTATGATTTACAAATATTATAGTTTTTCTAATTCACCTCTAATTTCAAAACAGATGCTGGTGTTCCGCTTCTTATTTATTTTATCAAAAGCCTCAAACATTATAACCATCTTATGACGTCCGCTCATAGTGGTGCTACGAACATTATTTAAAATCAGTTTTATAGCGAATGGTTCATGAACTAGGAGGGTCTGTAAAGCAGAGCATTAATCACATATACATCTAATGACGACCAAATATCTTACGCCAGGAGTACTAAGGCACTTCGTTTCTACGTCTTTTCGGTTGGTAATAAACTGAGTCCAATATGTATACCAATACTGGTCTTTGCCGTACATAATGCTACAGAAATCTGGATGACTCATACTAAAAACAGTGGGTTCCCAATCTCCTCGTTCAAAATGGTACAAAGATCCTGAGGCCTGTAACGATTTTCGAAAATGGTGCGTCAAGAATCCAACTAGTCCTCAAAATTTACCGCAACACGATCGCCAGGTTGCACATCCCAGATGGTGGTTACATTGCCCTTCACATGGACTTTTTCTTCAACTTGTGTTATTGTTAAGTGCTCAAAATCAAATAGTCCATGTATATCCAATGAACCGGGTTGGGCATCTGAACATTCGTTGAATACTTCTGGATCCTCCACGATAAATTCGTAGTCTACTGCGAGCACATTAATAGAAGCTATTCCTAATAGCAGCAATGTCCCTACACACACCCACATTTTCGGGTGCTTGGAAAAAAACTAACAATTGGAACTGCTATGTTCGGGTGTCGCTTTTATATACCATAGTCACCATTAATTAACACGTAATTAATAACAAAACATGTATATACGTATATGCAGATAAATTGAATCGCAAACAATCGGATAAAAGAGGTGTCCATTAAGGGTATTTTCACTGTAGCGGATATTTATAAATAAATTAAAGACGAAACACTTGTTATCCTTAAGGGTTATGAGTCCCCCTTATACGCCCTATTCTCATGTATCCCCTTTGAACGTAGTAAACAGAACAATAAAAGCTCGCACACTCAAGAGAGAGAGGGTTGTGGGATTTCGTAGGCACTATAAGACTCGCTAACTGAACACATATTTGTATTAAACTTTGTTTACTTATTAAATTAACTTTTTGCATATGTATATGTATAAAAAGAAAGCATACGTAGGTAACTTAAGTTTTCTAATTGTTGGTGGCTGCTTTATGTTGGTTACAAATCGGAAATATTCATTTTTTGCTGTCATTTTTACAAATTGAATGAAAAAATAATATAATAATTGATAATTAATTCAATTTTGAATTAGCTTTTTGACAAAAATATTTTAATAATACAGTAGATGCCACCGGAAATTACGAAAATCCGAAGCTTGTTTGCAATTCAATTTAATTACATACATAAATGACCACTGATAGATAATTGTTTAATTATTGTTGTAATAATTAATTGTGACTATGGTATATAAAAGCGACAGCCGAACTTAGGAGCTCCAATTGTTAGTTTTTTTCCAAGCACCCGAAAATGTGGGTGTGTGTAGGGACATTACTGCTCTTAGGAATAGCTTCTATTAATGTGCTCGCAGTAGACTACGAATTTATCCTGGAGGATCCAGAAATATTCAACGAATGTTCAGATGCACCACCCGGTTCATTGGATATACATGGATTATTTGATTTAGGGAACTTAAGATTAACACAAGTGGAAGAAAAAGTCCACGTGAAGGGCAATATAACCACCGTTTGGGATGTGCAACCTGGCGATCGTGTTGCGGTAAATTTTGAGGACTAGTTGGATTCTTGACGCACCATTTTCGAAAATCGTTACAGGCATCACTATCTATATTCCACTTTGAACGAGGAGCTTGGGAACCCACGGTTTTTAGTATGAGTCATCCAGATTTCTGTAGCATTATGTACGGCAAAGACCAGTATTGGTATAAAGCTTGGAGCCAGTTTATTGCCAACCGAAACGACATAGAAAATAACTGCCTTACTACTCCTGGAGTAAGATATTTTGTCGTTAATATATGTATATGTGATTAATGCTTTGTTTTACAGACCATGCTGGTTTATGAACCATTCGAACTAAAACTAATTTTAAATAATGTTCGTAGCATAACTTTGAGCGGACGCTATAAGTTCGTTATAGTGTTTAAAGCTTTTGATTGGACAAATATGAAGCGGGGCAAAACCATATGTTTTGAAATTAGAGGTGACGCAGAAAAACTTAAAAATTTGTAAATCAAATCTATATATGTATGTATACACCTAATTGTGTTTTTACACGGTAGATAGGTTCCGTGTAAAAAAGACATTGATATGTAAAAATAGGTGAACGCTAGTGTCGAGCAAGGCCGACAGTAAAATAGCCTGTACTCTCCACAAAAAAGGAAAATTAAAAAAAAAGAAAAAAAAATTTAATTATTAAAAAAAATGAATTAATTAAATTAAATTAGAATACATGTTTATGTTCAGTTTTAACAGTGTTTATATGCGTGTATGTATGCAGCATAAAGTTGAACCAAAGCAGCAACAACTACAAAAGCTGCGGGCACATGAGCAGCGATGTTATTTATGGCTATAACTTTCTTCAGAATTGACCTATCATGATGAAACTTGGCATACAGACACATAATCACTAACGGGATGTAGCTACCTAATTTTAGTTCGAAAAGGAGTGGGGGAGGGGGTGTATCAGAATAAAAAAATAAACTTGACCTGCCTAGGGCTTATGGGAATCTGTATACCGAGTTTGGTTATTCTAGCTCTTGTACCTTCTGAGATCCTTGCGCTCATACAGACGGACGGACGGATAGACGGACATGGCTAAATCGACTCGGCTATTTTGAATCGTGCTAAATGGAATAAAGTGGGTTCCGTTATTGTGAATCGTCCTAAATGGAATAAAATTGTATAAAGAAATTAAAAATTTTTTATTTTAAAAACCGTTTTAAATCAAACCCGTGTAAATGTACAAGTATATAAAGCAAAGTCGTGTCTGTTCGAACAGGTAGAAATCGAGAACGACTGGTCGTATTTTCACGATTTTAGATATGATATATTTGTCTCCGTCCGGAATAGAAGAATAACTATTAAAAACATTGGAATTCAAGCTCGAAAGGCGGGGAAACAGACTCAGAATCAGAATTTTTTAACCGATGACAAATGACATAATTTAGAAAAAAACGTCAAATCGATGGGCTTAATTGAATCGTTCCGAATTATTCTGTCAATTCAGTCAGAGTCAGTATTATTATACAAATATTTACGTCAAGAAAGTGTAATTTATTTAATTAATTAATTATTGATCTTTGACCCTGTACCCGTAGGGTGAAAAGGGTATATTATGTTTGTGGGGCATCTCCGACCCCATCAAGAATATATATTCTTAGTCAGCTTGATAGGAGAAATCGATCTAGACATGTCCGTCCGTCTAACCGTCTGGACGCAAGCATCTCAACAAAAGTTGGTGTCCAGAGTCTCCTAGGTCCGTGATTAAGAACTAAATCTATTTATATACTCTTGCTGTTCGTATTTTACTTAACGTATGATTTACAAATATTATAGTTTGTCTAATTCACCTCTAATTTCAACACAGATGCTGGTGTTCCGCTTCTTATTTGTCTTATCAAAAGCCTCAAGCATTATATCCAGCTTATGGCGTCCGCTCATAGTGGTGGATCGTATATTAGTTAACACCACTTTTATAGCGAATGGTTCATGAACTAGGAGGATCTGAAAAGCAGAGCATTAATCACATATACATCTAATGACGACCAAATATATTACGCCAGGAAAATTAAGGCACTTCTTTTCTACGCCATTTCGGTTGGTAACATATTGACTCCAAAATTTATACCAATACTGGTATTCGCCGTACATAATGCTAGCACAGATAGTGATGCCTGAAAGAATTTTTGGAAATTGTTTGTCCAAAATCTAACTAGTCCTCAAAATTTACCGCAACACGATCGCCAGGTTGCACATCCCAAATGGTGGTTACATTGCCCTTCACATGGACTTTTTCTTCAACTTGTGTTAATCTTAAGGATAACCGGGTGGGGCATCTGAACATTCGTTGAATATTTCTGGATCCTCCAGGATAAATTCGTAGTCTACTGCGAGCACAGAAGAAGAAGCTATTCCTAATAGCAGCAATGTCCCTACACACACCCACATTTTCGGGTGCTTGGAAAAAAACTAACAATTGGAACTGCTAAGTTCGGGTGTCGCTTTTATATACCATAGTCACCATTAATTATCACGTAATTAATAACAAAACATGTATATACGTATATATGCAGATAAATTGAATCGCAAACAAGCAAACGGTGGCATCTACTGTATTATTAAAATATTTTTGTCAAAAAGCTAATTCAGCAATATAAAATAATGAGGCTATATATAGTTTGTTATAAACTACCTCTGCGTATGGATAATATACATAAAAGTCTATATACCAAGTTTCGTGTTCCTGATTGTTAAGTTTCAACAGTTCCAGTGTTCGTCTCGTTTCTATAACATGGATTTCATCATGTGTTATTCTCCCTGTTAAATATGTACAGTTGGTGTTTTCACTCTCTCGTATATCCTTTCACGCTTCGGATACATGGTATAAATAATACTCTGAAAATACATGGTTCAAAGGCATAACCAAAAACAAACAATAATTATATTTTCCATTTGTCAACTTTGAATATGCTTTTGGGTACTTACCATCATTGTGATAAGATTCGCTGCTATTTCTTATTCAGACATTGTATATTCGCGTATGTTGGAACCCCGTAGCAGAAGCTAGCTTGATGCTTCTTTAATATGTAAATAAGAATTTATAAAATTGTGTATTATTTACAGTTTTATTTACGATAGCTTTGTGATATTTTTAATACATATGTACAATTTACAAAATATATAAAACTACGCGGTCTATACATAATTTATAACTTGTTAAAGTCCAGCTTAAAGTTATTTTAAAAAATAGGTTAACTGCAAAAGTGATGCCAAACTGACAGTGCTTAGGGATTGCATCGAAAACTACCCAACAATAATAGTTAACATAACGGATTTGGTCTGTTCGAAACAGCCTCAACTTGATCCTTCCGGAAGATCAAACCGTAAACGTAATAATAGGAACTACATTATCTTACAAAATAGCCAGGCATAAGCGCTCAATGTTGTGCATATCAGTGGACTGTTTATACAAGTTTACTCTTAAAGCATAGACTGGAACAGAGGTATCAGTGGATATTGAAGATCAGACACGAAGAGTCGATTTTGAAGCCCTTCTAGCGATTAGTATTTTTATTTTTGTGATCTTCCTCCGACTGCTCAGCTGTCGTTTGAACAGCAGCTAGTTTTTTTCGACGCAGCATAAAATGCGAGACATTCTCGTAGACTAGGAAAGTAATCATGCAAGCGGGCACCACACGCGTCAAGTTCGCCTGGAGACCTTTGTAGAAACCAATTCTGCCCTCGTACCTGAAAAACAAGCAAGGCAGATGTTATTAAAAACTTTGTAAAGGGACTACGCATACATACTGGGATGAGCAACTAGTTGAACTTAGCAAAGAGATTCTGCACAATTTTCGGCTTGGTTGTGAAACTACTTACAATTGGAACGACGAATTGTTCAAGACTCGGAGAGTTGGTCAAATTTAAAGCGGCAAGGATAGTTGAATTAGCTTCAAGTCTTTTGATGAAATAAAAAGACCTGTCGTCGGACTTCATGGTTTGTTTGCATTTTAATTTAATTATGTTGTTTTTCTTTTTTTCTATTGTTGTTTTTGTATTTCAATTTGCTTGGCTTTTTCACTTTTGAATTATATTTTCCATGTTTGTATACTTATGTATGTACATTTGTAAATGATAAGTTCATGTGTCTTTAAATTAGAAACCATTCGAAAATCATGAAGAATCTTTTTGCCAAACGCAATTTAGATTTGTGAACACATTATTAAAATTAATTTTCACATTTTGAGCAGAGTTTTTTGTGCTGCTTTTGTATTTTGGTACAAAACAAAACTAGCAAAAAGTTGTTATATTCTTAACTGGCAATAAATTAACTATACTATAAACTAAATGTTTCGATGAATTTCTCAGCTTGTGCCATTGTTTACAAAAAGTGCTCTTCTGAAATTTGATTTCATTACTTGGCGACAATGCTCTTGCTAATAGGTTCGGCTTTGAGACTTTATCACAACAATTACTTCCAAAGTTTGCAGATGTTTTCGTGAATCAACTAAAAACCATATCTTTAAAACTAAGTATGGAATAAAATGTAATATGTATGTGGCTTTTAGGAGGAAATTATGCTATCCAAATTAATTAAAGTAGCTAGTTAGCTAATGCATTGACATAAAAACGTAGGCAAATAACTAATAGTAACAATAATACAAAGTAAAATTAATTGCCAGAGCGGCAGGGCTTTGTCATTTCACGCTATGTTTCATTTATGATATATTTATGTAGCATGTACTTAAAATTCAGATTGTACGTGTATTTTTAGTAGCTTGTTTACTTATGAATGAAGATTCTTGGCCCATAGTGGGTTGCTAGACACTCAATATTTAAATGTAATACTCTTTTATCTTATGCCTAGCTGGTCAGTTTCTCCCAAATGAGCATGACCATGCAAATATTGGGCGTGACATGCACCAAGTACGGCACCAGTCCCTTATAGAAACCGCGCATGCGTTCGTACCTCCAAGTCTGTTTGATGCAGTCCCAGGTGCCGCTGTAGCGATGGTGATGGTCCTGGAGACGTGCGCGCACCACCTGATATGGATATGTAGCGGCGGCAGCAATCAGCTTCGAAATGGCGGCAAACGCCAAGTACTCGGTTGTGGCCTGCGGGGCAAACGAAACCAAAGGTCAGTGAAATGTCGTACAAAAATCGATTGGCAGGCAACAAATTAAATGTGTCTCGCCATTTTTTGGATAACAACGAAATTGTGGCTTTTTGAACAGCTGCCAAAATGCGCGTCATCGACTGGCTTTATTATATATATTATATATATATATATATGTCGGGAGCACGCGCAATTTTGTCATGTGATGCGAGAACAACAGCCACACAAGTCACACACACCCTTGTACACTCACCAATTTTGTATCGATGGGAAGCTTGCGATATTCGTTATAGGCATTTTTCATCTCCTCATACGTCATAAACTGTATGGCTCCATGGGAAACGCCCAGCATGCCAGGCACAAAGCCCTATTACAACAACAGAAATATGTATAAGTAATGCTCACTCAGAAATGCATTGACCCACTTACTCTATATAGTCCACGCATGCCCTCCTCCTTGTAGATTTGCGCCAATGCATGCACCATGCCTCGGTATTCGGCGCTGCTGCTGCCCGCTGTATCGCATTGCAGGCACAGCCGTGTCTTCACCACCCATATGGGATTAGTAAGCACTAGCGTCAGAGCACCAGACTCGGCAGCGGCCAGCATATGCATTGTGGGACCCAGTGGCATGGTTGTGTTTCCGCCCTGAATAAATGTCTTGATGGTGTTGTAGCTGCAATGATCGTATAGAACTCGAAGTTAGCAAGAGGCACCTTAAAATTTATTCGCTTGCAAAGCATTTTCTTTGAGATAGAACATGACAAACTACTGTTTCCCTTTTTGTTAAACACAATATAAATTTCGCACATTTCTAAATAATTGAAAGGCTTTCCAGTCGGAATGGGAAACACCTTTAGTCGGAATTCTATTATATGCTCAGACATGCAAACAGGGAGTACATTAATACTTACAACATAAAGTATAGGCCCCATGAGGAACCGGATCCCCATACATTTGGAGTCACACCCTTGTAGAGGCCACGGAAGCCCTCCTGACGAAATATTGTGGCGAAAGCGCCGCTCAAGCCTCGATATTGCGGCACTGTGGCCGTACGACCGTCATTGACTGCAATGGAAGAACAATAAAATTATTGTAAAGTTTGATAATAATGTTGATTGTTTATTATTTATGGGCATGTCTGCAACCCTGAGACAGCCCTATCATGAACCTTTTGCATAAAAAGGGGTCCATTTAAGCAATTCTAGCTGCATATACATATGAACGTATGTACATACTACTTGTTTGTACATACATAAATCAGGTGTGTGTATAAGTATTTTACAATCTTTAGCGACTGTACCTGAGCCAATCAGTTGTTGACTTCAGAGCCTCTGGCTAATGTTAGGCTAAACAGTAGAACAATAACCAAGATTTCGCGTCAACAACCATAAAGAACAATGCAAGAACAACAACTTGTTTTCGAACATTTTTTTCGCACAGAGATGTTGTTGTCATTGAGCCTATTCCAAATGGACAAATGATAGCGATAATTACGCGCGCACACTCACGCCCATTCAGCGGATGTGATAAGCAGCCTAATGTAAAATTGGCACAAATTGCCAAATGAGGTGGTGCTGTTTACGAACAAAAATTATTTGCTATTTTTATCAATTAGCAACGAACGCAACAACAAAAGTCTAATCATATTTGTTTTGCAAAAGAGCTTATGACTGTTGGACGTGTGTCGAGATGGGGGGCACAGGGAAGGCTCGGGAGCAAAGATGAGGCCCGCCTATCGCCTGACAACAGCACGGGCGATCATAAAAAAAGGGGCTCGTCTCGAAAGATTTCTGGCAATGCTTGAGGCGCATATATGTACATATTATTTTTAGTTGTAGCGACAAAAAACGACCTATAAATTTATAATTCTATATGTACTCCTATATATACACACAAATGAGTTTCTATATACATAGACAGCGAATTTCAACGACATTTTGTGATCCGCTAAAGTTGCAATGACTGGCTGTCTATTTAACCTTGAAAATGGGATTGCAATACTTATGCGAAACCAGTTAATGGTGCCGAAATGAAATAGGGTCTGAAATACAGGTCTGTATACCATTTTACCAGTATGTATAAAAAAACATGTTGACTGTGTTACTTATAAATCAGCTGACTATTGCGAGTTCATAGCTAATGCGTATTTAATCGAGTTAACAAGTCGTACAAATTAAAATCATAAAATTTTTGTATTTATGGGCACAAAGCATTTACTGTCTCATGAGGAAAAGCCTTTACTGTACGTGTTTTGTTTTGAACGCTTACGTTATTATTGCGGTTAGGCTCTGAACTTTTATTTATATACTGGGGTTTAGTTATTAACAAAACGATTTTAAGTGCTAATATTCGTGCTCACAAATATTCATATCTGTTCGCGCCTCTTCACAGAACTAACAGATAAGCCCAACGCCAATGACTCAGCAGTCAGTTTTGCCACTTGGCAACAAACTTCCGTTGCAAATGAAAACCAGTTCGGCGTACCGCATAAAACTGCATGGCGCAGCTTTTCCGAGCATGTTCGCTCCTCCAATGTACAGTCGTCACTTTTGTTGGTCACGTGAGCAGACGCAAAACAACAGGCCCAACAATAACAACCACAAGATAAACAAGTTTTTGTTGTCGTTGTCCAAAAAACCCACACACTAAAGCAAAACAACCAAATGCGTCACAAAAAGCACACACAATTCCACATACGCCATGTTGCGCCTTGCGCAAGTCGAAATGGTCCGATCATATGTGTGTGTGTGTGTGTGAGTTGTGTGAGTAACGGTTACAGGTGTATGCTAGTTCTGATAAATGATGTTAAGCTTTTTTGTCCAGCCATTATCACGCGGCACGCGCCGCTTTTGCTTTCTTGATGAGGTTTGCAGTTTATTTTGCATAAACAAATTAATTTGCTATCTCTTGGCTAATACCCTGTTTACTGTAGCTCTGACGTGCATACAAATTATGTACATACGTGCATATGTGTATGTAAATATGTACATAAAAGTGCACATAAGGATGTATGTACGTATAAGCATGTCAACTACAACGAATAGTGGAAACCTGATTTTGTTGTGTTCATTCAAAGCGAGCATGCGGAAGCACATTCGGGGCATGTGGAGCCAATCGAGGACAACTATAACATCATACATACATACATATGTATGCATGTACATACGTCAGCGAAAATATTGTTTACATTTTAATTAAAACATTTGTTTGCAACATTTTCGCCACAGAATTCGTTATAGAAGGTTCGTTCCAGAAAGTAATTGATAAGTCAAATTCCTTCTAGTCGTGACCGAATCATGCTATGCGTCATGGAACTTGATTATCACGTCTGGGCTGTTTTAATCTACAGTCAACAAATCAATAATAACGCAGACTTATGGCTCTAAATGTTATTAAACAAAGGCAGACGTTTGATAAAATTCGATAACGAAGAAATGAGGATAGAAAAATATACAAGTACATAGGTATATGCATGTCTATAACTATTCCAAGTCCACGTGCCGTTGTTTATGGCGCGTTTGTTTATTGCCTGTCTACGTATGTATGTATGTTTGTGTGAGCGGGGCTTCATATTCAGCACGCTTTAACGTTTCCACAGAGATGGAAAATTTTAAAACTCACATACAAGCGAAAGCAAAATGTAATAATAAACAAAATGTAAAACGCCATGTACGTACAACTAAAAAGCCAGTAAACAAACTCATTTTTCTCAGCTGTCGTCAGTCAGTCATTCATTCAGTCAATGCACTGGCGCGGCTTCAGCTCTCAATCTGAAAGACATGAGTCGACGGCCGCCCCCTGTGCGTCAGGCCAATGCATTGCAGATTGGGAGTTGTATCAATGATGAGTGTGCGATGGGTGTTTAGTATGTATCTGATGGATGCTGTTTTGTTCGTTAGTGGTCACTCTATCGGATGGGCTCATTTCAGACACGTGCTAGGCACTGCACTTGTGCTTATCAGCTGCACACACATTTTACAACGACTACTATTTAATGTATTTCTTTACTCACCAGCAAATCGGATTTTAATTAAGTCCAACGGATGCAGTATCAGCGTTGATGCCACGCCGCCAGAAACTCCGGCGACCAAGTGCTCGTATTTAAAATGTGCAAAGACATTGAATTTCTTGCTGCCGGCCTGTGCGCTCGGATTCATTTTTGTGGTATATGTTTTATGTGCTTGGGCTAGGTGCGAAATGTTTCCTCTTTTTATTCTGTATTATTATTACTAATAATTTCTTTGCTCTCAGCTCGTGCGCTCTCACTTTGTGCAACTACTTGTTAATTATGCAGCCACATAATTTATATATGTATATGATTTTTTCTATGTAATTTATAATTTACACACTCTTTGGCTTAAAGCTTTGCTCAACTCGACTGAATTGCCAGCAGCAGCTGCAACTTGTAATTGACACAAATTTCAAATCAAAGAAACTCGTTGCAGTTCGCAATTATGTGTTCCGTTGCTAAATTTTCGTTGCTAGGGGCAGACTTTTTGTTGCTGTTGTTCTTGTTGCTGCTAGTGGCGTCGTCGCTGCTACTGCTTATACAGTTCTGCCTATGCTTTTTTGTTGCCCAGCTCATTTTTTCTTTGCAAATGGACAAATGGCTCAGATGTATTTTTTTCCGTCTGCTGCCAGTGCGAAATTTGCTGATGCAATAGTTGTGGACTTTGTAATGTCTGGCTTTTTGTTGTTGCTGTTTAGTATTGTTTTTTGGTAATTATTTTTATTTGTCTGCCATACGCTTATGTAATGCAAGACTCATTGCCCGAGTTTTTATTGTATCATCCCAAACACGACTTTAACTTTTTCAAACCTTTACTATACAGCAAATATACCACACGTGTGCTTACGTTAAGCGATTAAATAATGACTCGTTCAAAATGAATGCACGACCTTTTATATCTGTTCCAGAGTTGGGTGGTTCGTGATTTGGAACCATGAAATGAACAAATGGTAAAAGCTCACATTTGTATTATCATTATTACTTTCTTGGGTAAATTTCTGAATTTATGTTTATAAAATGCAAATTAAAGGACTGTTGAATTTATTCAAGTACATTTTTAAATATATGCGAAAGCTTTAAAAAGAATTTATTTAGTTCGTTCGAACTACATGTAGACTGCCCTGAAATTTTGGCTTTGAGGCTTAGCGTTGCCACTGCGCTGCAATTTTAGTTGGGCAAGTACATCGATAGTGTTGAACACCAATAAAGCAATTATCGATAGCACCATATTTAAGCTTTTAATAGTCGTTACGAAATCGTTAGCTATCAATTGAAATTTCATTGTGAATCTGTTCAAAAGTTAAACTCAATAAAAAAATCATATTGACATGTTGTGTATATTTTTATTCCGTATCAAATTGTAAATTGTTTGTATATAGAATATATAGTCTGCATTTTACATTTTAGTTTATTGTTACGAAATCGGTAGGTGAATTGCTTGTTGCCGCTTTGGACAGTTAATAAATGGTTTAACCATAAGCACTAAAATGATTGCCAAAATTTCAAAAATATAATTAAATGGATTTTTAAAGAGTGATTTCGTTGGTTTTTATTATTACAAAATATAACTTAATTTTAGTTAAAACGAGAAAAAATATTTATTAAAGCCGCGGCACAAGGTTTTAACAAATTCGGATGAATCCTATAAATTTTAAAAGCTATTGTCATGAATTTCGTATTAACAATTAATTATGTATAATTTTGTTATTTTTTATGTATAATTTCAAAAACAAAAAATTAAATATCGATTGCAGCAGTTAAGTCTATGCATTGATTTTCACTAATTCTGTGTTATTTTGTTAACTTTACAACAATATCTCTCAAAAATTTAAATATTCTCTGCTCCTCAATTTTGAAGGCAATAGTTTAGAGAACATTTTGGTTCGTTAGGTTTTCATAATTTCTTTTCAATATATTTGGCAGGATGTTGTGTAAGTATTATGCGTTTTGCTCGCTGTTTCTGTTTTTGTTGTTGATTGTGTTTGCTATTCGCACTTTGTAAAAATTCTAACATTAAATTATATAAAATAAATAATCGAAATAATAAATCATAGACGACACACACATGTAGAGTAAAAAATAAACGTAATTTTTGCATTAAAGAAAGACAAACGATAACGACGAGCTTCTCGATGCAGTACCCAGCCATTTACAGTTTTTATTTTTTGGCCACAGCTGGAACGTTTAATCGTCGTCGTGCGCGTTGTCCGCCGCCGGTGCAGTTGACGTCGATGCGCGATCATTGGCACTTTCACTGGCATGGCTATCGGAGCCCGCCGCAGTCTGGCCACCGCTCCCGTTCTTATTGCTGTTGCGCGCATCCGTTTCGTCTCCATTGCTCGCACTCACTTTCGCTTCTAAGGCACGTATGCGATTCTCTTGTTTGACAATGATCGCCTTGAGCTTACGTATCTCATCCAGTATGTTGCGGTGATCCTTTTCCTGTGGAGCGCAAAAGCAAAAGTGAGTTAAGCAACATGCATATGATTTCCCAATGCACCGGTCTTACCGAGAATACCGCCGCTGGCGCTCCACCATCGCTGGACTCGTTATTGTTCGCAGATGCATGATTGCCACCACTACTGCTGCCGGCTCCTCCAGCTCCTCGCGGGATGCTCAGCGGGTTCTTTTTCACTCCCAGAGTTTTGTTCGCCGACGAGACATAGCCACCCTGTACAATGGAGACGCGATCCTGATTAGGTTTTTTAGTAAATCTGTTCTGTTGGGCTACAACAAGGGAACAAAGAACACAACAACAAGCGCCACGCAGCGTGCGTGTTAAGGCGTGTAAGCCGATCGTGTTGCAGGTGTCTGGTAATCTACATATTACATACATATGTATGTATGTACATATACAAGTAGTATGTATGTATGTTTGTATATCTATTGGTCTGTTTATGTTGTGGCCTGAGTTGGCTGCGTGTGGGACTACTGCATGTACGAGTATGTATGAATGTGGATTTTATTTGGCAATTAGTACAGTACTGGTGAAGAATGATGATGTTGGCGGTGTAGGGCGTGTTTACTGGGCAGACGAGACAAACGTAGAGAACGCATAAAATGTCAAGGCAAAAAAAAAAATTGGAGGACGACAAGGTTTTTAGCAAAGCGTGCCATTTTAGCCACAATTTCGAAGCAATTTGGAAGAGCTACAGCTATCGGCCAATTAACAACTTTACAGCAGGTTCAAAATATACGCAGGCAGCTTTTTTGTTTTGGAATACATTCTTGATGTGACGCGCTCTGAATTGACGGATTGCGTGCAAACGCAGTGGCTGCCACTCTTAATATTAGCCACCGCGGATTGTGCGCAGGCCGAGAAACGCGCTTGCTATAGCAAAAATAATAATATAGATTTAATATTTGGGGGCTGGGTCATTCCAGCCCCCATCTGTACGCTCCAAGATTTGGTGCAGAGGCCGGCACCATTGCAAATGTGCTTCCACCTAAATGCACCCAACGAGCGCTGTATTCCAAATGTATATGCAATGTGCGACTGGTTCGACACTTACTTTGAGCGAGAATGTCAGTGGATCAGCATCTTTGCCCTCCACCCACTCCTCGGCCGTGATGGCGGCATCTTCTGCCAACGTATCGGGATAGAGATCTTCTTGGAAGAGGTCCGATTTGCGCGGCACAGTCATCGAAATCACTTGACACAGACCATTGTTGTTCAGGCGATAGAATTTGGCTATTTCGCAGGTGGTGACGTCACAGCCACGTTTTGGCATCAAGCCAATACCACGCTGCGGATCTGGTGTTTGAAATGTGTTAATATAGTGCACAAACGGTGGCTCCGGGGTTACCTGAAAGAAGTAAGAAGACAAAGCTTTAAAAATGTAAACTAATATGTGTTCCCAAAAGTATTTACTATACGATCCGCATTAGTTAGATAGTTAGACCGTTCCTATTTACCTCAAAGTAACGTATGACTGAGTCGCCTTTGCCGCACAAATAAATCAAATTCGTATCCGCATCGTACAGAGGGAACATCACGCCGTTTGACGTGTCCAGCTCGACCATGACAATGGGCTCGTTGAGGGCGTCGGGCGCACGCAATGAATACTGGCGCTCTGAACTGCGATTGAAGCCGGTGGTAAAGATGAGACCATGTCGCAGGAAAATGGCTCGCGTTGCCTTTGAACCCTCATGGCACATCGCCTCGCTCTCCAGTTCGGCGGTGCGCGGATCATAAATCCTAATTTTTTTGTCCTTGCATGTGGTGACCAGCTTGGAGCCGTCCCAATTGAAGCAGGCACTATAAACAATATCCGGATGTGAGTTTATGTGCACGAGTATTTCGCCAGTGCCCACATTCCAAATCACCACCTAAGCAAACATGAGATAAATTCATTATTGATCGTAAAAAACAAACATGGAAAATTTCATTGGGCAGTCACCTGATTGTCCGAGCCGGCCGTCAGCAGCACATTGAGCGCCGAGGGATGCCACAGCACGAGCCCCACTCTTCTCTGATGGAATACCAGATCAACCACGGGCTCGGTGAGCGTGCGTGACAAACCCCCGTCGGGTATTTGCCAAACCTTGACTACACAATCCTCCGAGCCGGAGGCAATCACATTGTCGTTGTGCGGACACCAAGCAATATCCAGGACTGGACCTTTGTGTCCGCCCACCAGCGGATGATCGGCTGCAATGCGTCCAACCTGAAAGTATTCCATTCCGAAAAATTGCAATTAATTGGTGGCTATTAATTTGCGACGCCATAGACGCCACAGACGACCCATTGGCCCAATTTAGCGCGCATTATTTTTAGATGCCGTCAGCAGCAGACGCAGCTGTCGGCGCTGCGGCTAATCCGTGCCACAGCTAAATAAGCAAGCATTCATAACACAAACTTCATGGTGGCTGGCAGACGATCAGACGATCAGACTCTGCGAGTGCGTGCGAGTGGCTGCATTTGAAACCACCTGATAATGCGAAAGTGCGAAAGTATAAATCTATTTCCAGAGAGATTTTTCTACTCAATTTCTAGCGCATATAAATTCATTTCAAGCTTTATTATTGCAATAAAAACTAACGATTATTTTCGGTTAAGAACTCTCCGTTGTGTTTATTGCATTCTCGATAGCAAGCTGAACACAACGAAAAAGTAAAATTAAAGTAAACATTTATATTTCTTTATTATACATATACTATGTATGTATGTATTTAAAATTGGCATATTTGTTCCTCAGAATCGGCATTTTTGTATATGTATAGTGAATACATACTAAGAACAGGCACAAAAGAGAAATTAGTGGCAGGTGCAGTTTCGACTTTTTACCTGTTAGATGATTAAGTCACTTATATTTTCATGTGCGGAAAGTCTTAATTTATTTTAATGTCGTCCCAGTCCGACTATGGAATTTCCTGTAACCCCAGCTTTTCTCTTGCAACAGCATTTCAGTTCAAATAAACTTTGTTAATACCTTTATGATATTCTATAGCTTAAATTATAAAACTCAAAAATACCAAATTTACTTGAAATCTCTTCAAAAATCTCTCGAAATCTAAAAAAAAAGGGATCCTATTAGGAGATATTCCTGCATCAATCGTTCCTATGACAGCCATATAAAATAATGAAAGAAGATGCGGTTTGTAATAAACGTGCCATCCATATGCAGAATATGGATCAGACCAGTCAACATATGATGTTTGGTTTTCCTAGGAGTTATGGTTGAAAACAAAGCAAAAAAGATTTGAATGCTATTCGCGGAATATTAGGTTTCTGGTAAATTTGAAACAATTTACAAAGCCAAGTTTTATAAATACAATGCTAGAATTATTTAGCTAATGTTCTTGGCCAGTAAATCGAGTTTAGGCTTTTTGGTAATTTAATGTCACTTCTTAAAATGCTAATGGGCCGAGGCGTTGGGCATGGCTCATTAAATATGCAATATAGAAATATACATATATTTGGATATAAAATAGAGCGTGTGAAAGTCGGACTACATACATATGTACATAAACAAACAAGAAACCCATTAAACAGCAGCTGCAAAACTTTCATGGAAGGCGCGCGTTTCGCATACAAATTTGTTCCAATTAGAAACTGAAGTATTCGTCTAGCTGCCTACTACAAATCTTGACCAAAAGTGGTGGCCATTGGCCAACATGTGCCAAATTGGGCGAAAACGTCCACGGCCCACGTAGAATGTTGAAAATAAAGAACGGATGCGCATGTGTCAGATTTAGAGCGCGCGCTGTCCAAATCAAAATCATTTATAGCTTATGGATAAATAATGCGCATTCAAGTGCTGCAAAGATATATTTTTTTTGAAATATATAATTATATATACAAACAGCTCTTTTTTTCGCAGCTAAAATTAGAAAATTTACTTTGTCATGTTGGCCACAGGCCAATAAAAGTGTTGCGATTTATAAAGAGATCGGGCCAGAGAGAGCGAGAAAGATCGCCAGAGATAAAGCTGTATAGAGAGTGAGAATACTTGCAACAATTACTAGACTTTCCGCACTTGCTGCACGCCTTTGCGTTTGTTTGTGTATGTGCATGTTTTTTTTTTTTGTATTTTTTTGTATTTTTAACAAAAGATTGTATATAAAGGTTTCCTGAAAATCGCGTTCATCGTCATGCCTGGCAACAAGCCCGCAAATGGCAACAAACTTTTGCAAAGCAATAAGAGAATACAAAAGTAGAAGAACACTAAAAATAGTGGCTCATTGTTTTTCTTAAAAATAAATATTGTACATACATATATCCATACTTCAACTGCTATGCTTTGTAAGCAACCAAAATAGGGATTTCCTTTTGGCAGCAGCTGAGTGCGTTTCAGACGCGACTCGCATCCGTTTTGCGCGCGTTTTTCAACGCCTGTTCGCTCACCTTATTATGGGGCAATACAATGAACGCGCCGCCGCCCGCCGATTCCACAATGATTGCCAAGAATTTGGGATTGACGGCACAGAATGTGGAGTCCCAGCTGGATTTGGAGACACGTATATTATCGTAGCATTGCTCCCGCTTCAACGACTGCCCGTAGACATGACGAAATTTTGAGCTGCGCACTACGCGAAATGACATCTTGGAGTTTGTGCTTTCTGATGGCTGATGGTTCTTGGCTATTAGCTATTGGCCGATGGGTGCAGATGAGGTGCGGGTGGTGGGTGTGCCTATGCAGTTATAGCTCGGTTGCTCAGTCGCTCGGCTTTTGTGTGTGTGTGTGTGCTGTGCTCCTCAGTTGCGCTCTATATATTATTATTATCTTGCTTATTGCGATTACTGACAATTTTACGCTGTGTTCTATAAACGAAGGCTAGTTGGTCCCAATTCAAAGCTCTGTAAAGAAACGAAACTCTTATTGTAGCTTGAAAAATGAACATCAATTAAGTGCTAAGAGCCTAATTGTACAGTAGACGGTTTATTTAGTATATTAATAAATACACTTGAGGCTTTTTCTTCAGAAAAAGTTTACTAAAGCGGATCATTAATTTAAAATATTATTCAAGTAATTAAGTGAATTACAATTACAAATCAAAAATTGAATGATGTATTTAAGATTTTGAGAAAAAACTTGTTTGTCTTTATAAGTATATACAATAAATTAGTCAGGAATGAAATCACTGTTCGCTCCGCAGTGTAATCGGAGGGTTCATAAAGTTTTCTCCATTTAACTTTTTCGTTTATTTGCTGCTTCGTAGATTGTAAAGCGATATTCTTATGTTCTTTAATTACACGACCATTTGATTTATTAGAAATAAAATCATTTTTGAATACAGACATTGTGAAGATTTGGAATTTAAAAAATTGAGTTTAATTTACCAAATGACGAATTGAATGACGATTCGTCATAAAAATCAAATAAATATTGAAGCTACATACTAAATTCTTCCTATTTGTTGCGGTTTCAAAGTGCACTGAAAAGGGCAAAGTTTAAATAAATGTGTCTGGCGCAAGCATGCTCTTTGTGTCTGTTTTTGAATAACAAGAAATAATATTATTTAATGCAATATTTCTCCTAGCCCGAAAATATTGTGTATATGGCCCCGTTTCCATTCAAACAGAAAGAGCCATATACAAAAACTAATTCATAAATAAATCACAATGCTGAGTTACGCACGAACGTCTCAGCATTTAATAGCCTCGATTTGTTCGATCCAATTTGCATATTTCTCCACGAAGCCAATAAACAATAGCTGTAGGTATTGCATGACATTTTTATGCAAAAAATGTTTTGGCCTTTTGTTACTGGAGTTGTTGTTGGGCTTGTCGTTACATAGGATGTGGGCATTATGTAATAAATATAATATGCCTGCATCTGTCTGTGCTCTTGACCTTTGACAATGTTGATAGAAAAAGTGGCAAGAAGCTACCTTCGCTGCCCTGTACTGTTTCTAACGCGCTGCCAGAAGAAAGTTTTAAGGTCGAGGTGGAGACTTTCACCAGCTGCTTTCGTGATATGTGCCAAAATATACGAAATTCGCAACTACCACGTATCTGAACGACAAGTGTGCGATTGTGGTGGCGGACGGGGGTGCGGACAAATGACATCATACTCGTAGAGCTATAATAATACATTGATAAAGTTGGCTGCAAACACGTGAATTATGGCCATCAAGAGAAGGCGTAGCGAGAAATTTGTTACTGCCTTGTTCTTTTTCTAGATAATAACAGCACAAATGTGTAAAACGAAACTTGGGCTGGGCCCATAATCAAACGCGATGAGACATCGCCTGCCTAGTGGTATCTCTGCCAGCTGGCCAAGTGACTAAAATTGTTCGTTAATCAGCGAAAAAGGCGACAAAAGCGCCACCAAGAAACTAACTTCAGCTTCTGCTACAACTCTATACCCTACACCGTTTTGTTTTTGTTAAATCAAACAACTTTCGGTATACCTCAGATTGGACATTTAAGGCAATAACCCATAAAAAAGTAATACATTCTCATTTCTCTCGGCATTCTCACTTATAATAATAAAGGTTCTTTTCGAATTACGATTAAGAAAACTCTATGTAGAGCTACATTTTTTAGCTGAACAGTTTGGAAACAGAGGAATAAATCGGTTGGCGTGCCATGCCACGATATGCCCTTCCATTTAAAGTGAAGAGTATAAATATGATTATGGTTTACACTAAAAATTTGTCATTGACCCGCCAAAAGACATTACTTTTTATTGCCACCCCATTTTATGTTGGCTGCAAGGTAAAGCGTAAAAATAATTTTTTTTTAACTTAAGCGGGACGATTTGTGTTTGTAGGTGTTGGCCTAACAAGTAAACGCGCCGCACTACAGATAAATTATATCAGCGGAACGAAAACCAATCATATGAAACCCATAAGTAAATATAGCGTTAAAAAGGCCTATTAGCACTAACGTTCCATTTCTTGAAGCTACCAAATATAGGCCTAAAGAAAAAGTTTGAAAACTGTGCATACACACATACATGCATACATATACGTGTATATCCATATATTCGTTTCTCTGTTTGCCGTTAGTATATTTACGTATGTATTTTATGTTGTTTGTATATTTTGAATACCTTGCCACCGCCAAGAAAATTTTTATAAATTTCACAGCTGTTGAAGGTCAAACTTAAAAATAGAAAATTAAATCATCTTAAGGCAAAATTAATATATACTATATGCATACATATGTAACACACACATACACAATCACACCGCTCTTTCGATTCTCTGTTGATTCTGCTGACATAGTTTCTGCAATTTATTTGTTTTGCCCGAATTGGCGGCCCCAACCTATTCAAACGCTTGCATATGCCAAAAATGTGCCCTGTCATCGAGACGACGACCACTTGAACTTGCCTTCGACGACAACTCAATTAAATGGTCAAGCGATAATTCTGCGCTCTTACTGTTACTCTTACAAAACGGAAGCTGCTCTGAGTGTGTGCGTGTGTGTGATTGTGCAGTATGTATTTGTTTGTGTGGGTGTGTGAGTGCATAAATAACCTATGAGCTGTTTATCGTAATGCGGGCGTAGTGACGACTGCTTGCCCAATGATCTCAGGGTGCAGTTGGATAACTGGGGGGCCAGTGGAAAAACACCATTTCTGTTCAGAAAAATCAGGGTACAACGATTTTCAGGAATATCAAGCATGTCATAAGAAGTTTATCGTACAAATTTGACTCTTTACTCATAGTTATTCACTTCTAATCAAATGCCCCTTTAGTGCAACTAATTTCTTTAAAATGGTTTTATTTGATTGAATTGAACATTCGAATTCAATAAATCTAGGGGTAAGTTGTGTTTAAAAATGGTTTTAATTAAAACTGAAATGCAGATTGGGAAGTCATTTCGATATGATTTAATAAGTGAAGTTATTACGAGTCTCCTTCCACTCCAAACAATTTTTAAAATATATATTTGACTCTTTACTCATAGTTATTCACTTCTAATCAAATGCCCCTTTAGTGCAACTAATTTCTTTAAAATGGTTTTATTTGTTTGAATTGAACATTCGAATTCAATAAATCTAGGGGTAAGTTGTGTTTAAAAATGGTTTTAATTAAAACTGAAATGCAGATTGGGAAGTCATTTCGATATGATTTAATAAGTGAAGTTATTACGAGTCTCCTTCCACTCCAAACAATTTTTAAAATATATATTTGACTCTTTACTCATAGTTATTCACTTCTAATCAAATGCCCCTTTAGTGCAACTAATTTCTTTAAAATGGTTTTATTTGATTGAATTGAACATTCGAATTCAATAAATCTAGGGGTAAGTTGTGTTTAAAAATGGTTTTAATTAAAACTGAAATGCAGATTGGGAAGTCATTTCGATATGATTTAATAAGTGAAGTTATTACGAGTCTCCTTCCACTCCAAACAATTTTTAAAATATATATTTGACTCTTTACTCATAGTTATTCACTTCTAATCAAATGCCCCTTTAGTGCAACTAATTTCTTTAAAATGGTTTTATTTGATTGAATTGAACATTCGAATTCAATAAATCTAGGGGTAAGTTGTGTTTAAAAATGGTTTTAATTAAAACTGAAATGCAGATTGGGAAGTCATTTCGATATGATTTAATAAGTGAAGTTATTACGAGTCTCCTTCCACTCCAAACAATTTTTAAAATATATATTTGACTCTTTACTCATAGTTATTCACTTCTAATCAAATGCCCCTTTAGTGCAACTAATTTCTTTAAAATGGTTTTATTTGATTGAATTGAACATTCGAATTCAATAAATCTAGGGGTATGTTGTGTTTAAAAATGGTTTTAATTAAAACTGAAATGCAGATTGGGAAGTCATTTCGATATGATTTAATAAGTTAAGTAATTACGAGTCTCCTTCCACTCCAAACAATTTTTAAAATATATATTTGACTCTTTACTCATAGTTATTCACTTCTAATCAAATGCCCCTTTAGTGCAACTAATTTCTTTAAAATGGTTTTATTTGTTTAAATTGAACATTCGAATTCAATAAATCTAGGGGTAAGTTGTGTTTAAAAATTTCGATATGATTTAATAAGTTAAGTTGTTAGAGCCTCCTTCCACTCCAAACAATTTTTAAAATATATCTTAACCTACGATGACTTGTGTCACAGAAAAGTGATTAGTAATAATGCTAACATTATTTTAAACTGTAATATTAAATTATTGCTGTGTCAAATCTGAGCCTGAGTGGGCCAGTTTGTTCTGCTGATGGGGATTCCTTACTATATACACACGTATGTATGTATGTATGCACACACGTGTAATTGAAATGCAATCTGATCAGATTAGTGGGTGATTGGTGCAAATTTCCAACAATAAAGTGGCGGATGGGTCAAGACATTGCAAATGCTTAACAGTGATTTCCCGGCCAATGCCTTTATTATTGATTAAAGATGAAATGAAACTTTTGTGGCTTCCCTTGCTCATATGTACATACATATGTATATTAATTTTATATATATATTTTTTTTAATAACATTTGCGCACTGTGCGTCGCGTGCTCTGCCAACTGTACACAAATTAAATTATTGCTTGATTGGAAATCTTAACGCTCAGTAGAAACGCTTGCCAATTCTAATTGCTAACAAATGTTTGTCGTGCGCTTGTCGTTGTAGAAACAACGTGACTAAAGGCTTGTCACCCGCTCGGCTGGCTGGTTGCCTGGTCTGGTTGATTGGTCAGTTTTGCAGCTCAGAGGGGTGCTCTCAATTGGACGCAGTAATGTTCATAAAAACCACACGCAAATGCTTGTACTTATATACAACTATACTTATGTATGTGCACCGTATGCGGCAATGGAGTGTGAAAATTATGAGAAATACTCGTTGGAATTGTTGAAGTTCGTTAGTTGGCAGACCTATAGTCAGACATGTGCATTATCCATTCAGCGTACAACAGGCAGCAGGCGGCACAATGCACAGTCGGCATCCACTTCAGACATTGCCGTTATACGTGTAGTACAACTGTCAAAGTAATGTGCATCTACTATAATTAGCTAACAATGGCGTCGTTCGTATGCTTTTTATATGCGGATACGATATGTCATAATGCTGCTCGAAATACATACAATATGTATAAATGTACATACAGTAGTATATTCTGCATAATGCGCGATAGTTAGGTGGCAAATCCAATTGTAAACATCCATCAAGCTGTGAGTCTGTGTTACACACACAGCACAAACAACTAAATCAAAGGAAAACAAAAGTGTTGGCAAACTGTCTTATCAACAGCAATACGAGTAACAGCAGCGGCAACAGCGCCAGTAACAGAAGCAACAACAGCAGCCCATCATCACCAGCAGCACAGAGTTGCAAATTTTCTTGGCATGATGTCATGCGTATATGCATATGCATTTATGTATGTATGTATAGTATATACATATGTGCAGTTTGTTTGTTTGTGGGCTTGTCAAGTGCAATTACAGTTGCGTAGTATCATTATGCATAATAGCTGTCATTAGATTATTTGTGATTAGAGTTTGGTCAGTCCGGTGCGAACTAGTTCAAAAGATCAGGTTTTAAAAGAACACTTTTAGACTATAAATAATTTTTGAAATAAAATATCCTCCCAGGTGAACAGGACCTACTGAACTAGGAAATTATAAGGATTCACAAGTTTTCATTAGATTATAATAATCTTTCTGTTAATAGATGTACAAAAACTCACTCAGTTGACGTTAGGACCGTTTTAAAAAGTGGATAATTAAGCTAAAAATTAAAACTTTAACACAGTATTATTTTGTTTTGAATTGGAATCAAAGTAATAAGGTGGGCAAATTATTAGTCGTAGAAACGGCCAACCACCCAAATAAGTCTTTGCCGCTTTTGCCAATATACTGCATCTGAAAACCGCTATTCGACTTTATTTAAAATAAAATCAGTTACAGAAATCCCATCAATATTTGGAGTTCATTAAACTTCAAGTTGGTATGGTAAGTGTTTAATAGTTGATACACATAAGGTGCGCAAGTGTTGGTGCAGACGCAGACGCAGACAGGCGCTCAAGCGTTGTCAACATTGCATGCTGCAAACACTAAGGCGGCAATAAGAGAAACAACAAGTATGTACATATGTACTCGTATATTTTTGTTTCGTTGCGTTGTGCGTTAATTTGCGTGTGGAGGTGAAGGAGCGTGCGTCGCAACGCGCGGCTTGGGTGGTGTCGCTGACACCGACATCGTAAGCGAGTGAAAGTGGAACTCTGTTGCTAAATTTAACTATGTATTGTGGCGCTCTGTTGTTGCTGCTATTCTTGTTGTTGTGGCTATGTTAATTGCACGACGCTTCTTTATTTCGTCGTCTACTTGTTGCTATTTCTGCATTTGCGCTTAGTCAGACTGGCAATTGGCGGCAATTGACGATTTCATTTTCATTTCTCTTTGGATACTGTCTCCACTGTCACTTAATTTGCATACAATCATATTTTCGTTGCACGGTTACGCACGCACATTGTGACAAGCAAATATGTTTTATGGCATTGCGTTTTGTCACTAATTGGTGTAGCTTTTTTTGGCTGCTGCGGTTGTCGCTTGCTGTTTTTGTTTAAGTTTTTGTTCGCCAAGCCAGTTGTTGTTGAGCAGCAGCCGTGGGGGCGTACGGCTCCCTTAGAGCGTTGTCGTACTGCTTCCTACACTTTCTAAGCGCACAATGCCGCGCCGCTGGAGGTCGTTGTTTTTCACACTTGTTTCTGCCTCTTGCTTCTATGTCTGTCTTTTCCGCAGCTCCACATATATACTTATGTATGCATGTATGTATATGTTCATATGCACTTATAAGCTCACGCACACACCGTTTCGTTTTTGTTACAAACGTTGCTTGCGTGTAATTCTACGCGTTGTCTCACTGGCCAACTGGAAGCCACGTCTCTTAAGTGGATACTGCTTATGATGTACGCACATAAATGCAAACTTAAGTACGCACATACATATATATGCATTATATATGTTTAAGTACTTGCACATAACATTATGGTTTATCGTTTAGCCGCATTTGCGCCCACATTATCAGCACCGAAAAATACGCGCTCACTGGCCGCAATGTCATTCTAGCTGTTTATAACTTGTTGCTTCCAGAGCAAATTGACAATCAAAAACGCGCTCTCCCACTCTCACTGCACCCTTTTGATGAAGGAACTTTATAAACAATCGGTCAACCGGAATATATGTACGTTCATATATTCATATGTATGCCACCGTCATTAGTTTATGGGAAAAATAAAAACAATTAAGCTGTTTCAAAAATAAATTTGTTTTTTCTCTTGTGATTATTTATTTTCTTTTTGCAACATTTCGGCGTTTGGTCTCTTTCCGTTCTTGTTGTTGTTGTTGGTTGTAGCGGCGCGTCCAAAAACATTTTTATTCCCTATTTTGGGTGTTGGACTCATATAACACATGTGTGCGCTCCCGTTCCCACAAAGATATAGCTGAACTCTTCACATGCATTATAGTTGCGCTCACAGCTCACACACTCACGCATGCTCGCACACATACAAACGCAATTGTCGCACTTTTATTGCAGTGATTTTAATGATTTTGTAATACGCGCGTTTATTATTAACCTTTCGAATTATATTATTGCTACTTAATAGTATGTATTTATTAAATTGGGCGCAATTCGTTGCCAGTTGACGTGTGCTTGTAAAAATACCACAGTGATTCATTAAAATATATATCGTATTTATATTGGCACAATGCGGTAAAAAACTATTAAACCAACACTTGCACACTTACTTTAATTTAACATGTATGCTTATGCATTTAATTTATAATTACTATTTGTTAATTTTGATTTACACTTCGTTTCGTTGTTTGTCAAATGATTTAGAGTTTTCAGTCACGTAGCGAAATGCCGACGTCGAAAGCAACACACACTCAAAGAGTAAATCAACTGTCTACTAGCGATGTAAGTAAACACCGATTCACAGAAAAGACATCGATTAAAATGCGATGTTCGTATTAACCCAATTTGTTATCGATGGCTCGATGGCACGAGCAAATGAAAAAAAAAAAAACGAATAATTTATGACTACCAATAACAGATTGTGGATGTTTCATACTTAAGATACTTGTACAACTATTCCTATAAAAAATCGGCAATATAAGAATTACAAAATATTCAAAACAAAAACAGCAGTCTTTCGACCGACATTTTTTTTCCTTCCTCAGCGTTGCCACTTGCTAAAAAGAATATACATACATATGTATATGTTTTGTACAAAATTTAAATTGTCATATGTGGTAGGGTTCTTGAACGTTACATACATACATATATGAAAATAGATATTATTAAAGTATGTTAATAAAAAAACATTTCAAGCATAAGATTACTTAGAGACCAAATGCCAGCTCCAGCCATTATTTTAAATTTTCTCCAATTCCATTGGTCTTTCAGATGCCGATACGTTTTTTTTGCTAGCTAAAAACATAATTTTTCATATTTATGTAGTGAAATAAAATGTACCATGTGCACTCACATTTTCCGTGTATCATCATTAATTTGGTAACCTGTACTAAAGGGTATTCAACTAGTATTGAAACAACAAATGCAACCAATTGCGTCAAAATAAAAACCAATATAACGCTGCTAAACTAAACAAAAATCATTTAGGTTTTGCATTAAAAACATTAGTTACTTACCAAATACAATCTATTTATGTAAATTGGTTGCCTCATATATCCAGCTACCAGACGTAGTACGGCCACATGCCACAGAAATGCCTGAAAGGACATGCGAGCCATTGGACGAAACACGGAAAGCACGCATAAGTCATAGGCTAGCCCTGCGAAATTTTAAATGGGGTTTCATCATGTATGTAAATACAATATGTATTCTTGTATGTATATTTGATTAGTTATATTTACTTACAACCCAATTTAACGCACATACAACAAATAAAGCCGGCACAGACCAAAATCCAGACGTTTTTGTATAGACCAGCATATAGTGCCAGCCAAATAGATGGTTTCTCAAAATCGTTCTTGATAAATATATACCCCGAAGACAACATTATCATTACTGCAGGAATTAGAAGCCACATGCCAAGCTCGTATTTTAATTTACCCCGATATTTGGGTTCTGAAGACCTATTTTTTAGGTAAAACTTTCCGCAGAAAAAGCCTACACAATATCCACCTATGTTGGTGTAGAAAGGAGGATAAGTCTGATAGAATGTATCTGAATCGCGAAAGAATAAATAGCGATAAGTTCTAGAAAAAAAGAAATATAAATTAGAAATATAAATTAGATTTTAATTAATTAATGGAAAAACTCAATTTTATACTCTGGCTTCGCGTGATAGACAGCTTCCAGTTTCAGAAAATAGGTCAGGAGGGCAGGAACAGCAAATGATAGAACGATTAGGAGACCATTCATGAAACGTTCGATCTTAGGATGTCTATGAAGAAGATATTGAAGAAACATTTTACTGTGCTTCGACATACATACTTTTTTGCTATAATTATATTAATTAGGAACAACTCAAATAGTTGCATGTCTGCGGCCATATACCAGGTCTGTTGAGCACACTGAGAGAGGGAGTACGATGTTCCAATGATGATTTATCAGTATATATATATACATATATACAAAAGAACGACTTACACTCTCTTCTAGTAGATAGTTGTTGACGAACAATAAGTTTTTCCACCAATTTTCGCGACAAAAAGTTCGCTCCGCTTCTGTAATGTGCCTCCAGAAGGGGCCATCTTGAAGGCGAGTTAACATCGTGCCATTGAAGAGAATCAATAAGACCAACGAGGGCAAGAGTCTAAAATATCTGACGAGAAAAACACGAAAATAGACTCCTATGCAAGTTAATATGCTTGATTGCTTGTTTATCAATTGCCGATCAGTGAAATTAATATATAGAAGGAAAGCACTCATAACAAAAAAGATTTGTATAACAGCACTGCCGTTTTGATAAATCGAGGTCTCGAATCTATTTAAAAGCTGCTCGAAAAATTCTGTGTTTTGAACTGGCACAGTCATAAATATCATCAATGTATGGCCAAGAATGACGATAAAAACTCCAATAACACGAAAGGCATCAAAAAAGCGGAGATCTTTTGAGAAATCGCTTGCGTGTGGAAGGACGAGACGATAATAATTTCGACAAAGTGAAAAGGCGCTAAAGAGTTTCTGACCTGCAAAAGAATCTCTGAATGACGACAGCTCAGTTCATTTAAAATACAACTTTTGAACATACCACTAGTTTTTAAAGGTTCCTGATAAAAGGTATTGTTCTGTGCGCTTAAAGGCTGTTGAAGCTTCAATCGATAATCGTAGAATGTTGAGGCTACGTTCAGAAAAACCAGAACACCAAAAATAGTGTAAAATACAACGTCCAATGAGTCTGAAATATTGTCAATTGAGGATATAGAACTGAAATATTATTGTAGAACTTGCCATTCTCCAAAGGCTCATCTCCACGCACACAGTACTCGATGGTGCTTCTAAGCCTTAAATGGAATTGGCGACCGTATTGACGATTCAGGCAACTGTTAACCAGGTGGTCGTAGTGTAGGCGCTCATCCGTATCCCTTTTGTGGACCTTGGCGTAATAATTGTACAGCTGCAGACGGTGATCCTAAGCATCCTTACTTGCACATAAAACTTGATGAGCTTACCACCTTATCCATGGCTTTGCCCTCGTAGAGCTGTTGGATTTGGAATCTACTTAGCGTGCTGAGCGCTCTCTTGCAACGTTCTAGGCAAACACCCAGAAATAGATGATCGTGTCGAAAATTATGCTTCGCATTCTGGGAAACTTTGTCAATTTCATGCCACAATGCGGAGCTGGCGTTTGGAACAATTTCCGCATAAACCAAGCAATATGTGCTGTGTCCCAACAACTGGCTTGGAGGTTTTTGAAGGCACAGATCATAGTCTTCCAGCTGATACATGGGAGGCATTTGTCTATACATTGTCACTGAGTATGGAATACATTGAGTTGTTTTCCTAGTTCTTCTGCAGGATACTTACAATTAAATTCAGTGAAGTTGGCACTGGCATAGCCCGTTAGTCCCACAAGGACGACGAGTGTGAATGCTAATATATGCATTATCGAACCGTTTCAAGAAGCGTTCCAAGCGCTACTGTTTTAAATTTTCAACGATTACGATTTTGTCATAAAACAAATTTGCAGTTGGCGTGCTATAGTGCTACGCCTCAATGGTTTAGAAAATGCATTTTCCCGCCTAAAGGCAAATCAATCAAAATACATATTTATCGCCAGCTTTCCCACATGCCCAGTTATCCAAATCTAAATATAATATACTGTATACTAGGTTTTATTGTTGTGCGTGCGTTTAAAGCGATCTCTAAGGGAGAAAAGACTTAAAACGACCTAGAGTCGCTTACATTCGGGCCCCGTCTCCACAGTCATTATAAAGACTAGCATTGAACAACCTAATAAATACCTAATTAGGTTCCAATATTGTTATAACAAGAGTATTGTTGCTACTAAGAATGCCTTTTCTACCGTTAGTTGTAATCACGATTCTGATGAAATTACAGAATATAGTGAAGCATTATAAAATATTAGAATAAGAAATAAAATATAGATCTATGGTTTTTTTTGCAGCCAAATAAAATAAAGAGTTGGTTTTGCCAGTTATATAAAATCTGGGTTCTTATATCTTTTTGCTGCATCCGGTATGCAAATTTATATAAATTCTTTGCCTCAGAAAGCGAGAAATATCTTTAAAAAATGCAAATGTAAAGTCTTTAGAACGGGTGACAAACATTCAAGACTTTTACTTTTTAAATATTTTATTTTTAAAAATATTTAAAGCAAACAACCCGTCTAATTCATATCTTAAGAAAAACCAATATTTTTGAACCGCTGGGAACACCTTAAGCTAACTCTGCTTATAGAGTATATATTAGATGGTCTATATTGTATTTATTTAATTTAAATTACAATGAAAACATATTCTACATGTTGCCCATTACGGAACGACCTAGTAGGATAATTTTGTATTAATTGAAATGTATTATTGGGGAGCTCAAATCCTCGAGGGTCCCAAATGTTTGCCGGTAAAGAGGGCCAGGTTGCTCGCGGACCTTACAAAGTAGATGAAGGGATGTGTGGCATGGAAGCGTTTGCGTCTCAAGGAACTAACGGCCATAATGCGAAAAACTGAAAATTTGCGAAAGCATAAATCCAGAGGGGTAGGTTAGAATACAAGTATTTACCCATTTTATTAAAAAGTATAAAAATATTAGCTTAGAAATAAAACCACATTAGTCGTTGGTATAAACATGTGAGAATACGTATAAATATCAAATTGGGTGTTATTTTCAATTCTATCGTTCGCTTGAACTTGTGATGCATGCCCAGTCTTGAGGTTAAGTCATGCCAGTTTACAGATATGATAATGGCTATAGTTTCAATAGTTTGCCAGCGAACAGAACAGTGCCCTGCTTGTGGGCTATATGATAATAAAATGGATGATCTGCAGAGAAGCGTATAGGATCCGGCTGGAACATTGGCATCGATGCAAAGCACATGACCATACCTGCACAAATTATAAATTATATTAATAGATTTAAAATGAGTGTTATTTCGGGAATGCATGTGGAGCTGAATGATGAATTGATGAGGAATTGATTGACCATAGCACCAGACCAGATGAAATCCTTCAAGAGACAATGCATACATATGTATGTGTTTAACTTACTGCGATTAGCCCAAGACAAAACATAAAAGATCCAATTTTTGTTTATGCATATACTTGTATAGTAAATAAATAGCTGCCTTTATTGTTGCAAAAATACCCGTTTATAATTTTACATTTATGAACAATTGTGAGTTCTGACTCAGAGCTCGTCATGTTCGCTGCTGGAAGGTGTCTGAAGCGTCACTTCACTGAGTCGCGACACCGACCCAAGAAAAATGGGCAGCCCTTGTTGCGCCTCTCTGTGCGTTATGGCATAGATGAATGGACGATTTGCATAAAAATCAACTGGAGGCATTGGTGCGCTACGCTTTTTTCGCACTACCACGCCTACCAATGAGAAGACAACAAAACAAAACACATTTTCAGACAAACACTTGGCTAAGTGATAATGAATGTGACCCAATAATGGTGGTTCGGAAGAAAGAAAAGTTCACTTACCGGTGGCTGCGGCCGCCTCAGTTCCCTCTTCGTTGACATCAATGAATGCTTTATGGATGACGGCCGAGACTTGCAAGCTTTCCGGACTTTGCAACATTTTGCCAAACTCTGCTTTTGAGGAGAACATTCGCGACATTCCCAACTAAAATTTGTAAGCAATACAAGTAGTAGAAGGTGAAATTTTGCAACTGAGTTATTGGTAAATTCTTCAACTTACCTCCTTAAACACATTCGTTAACTCGACTTGGAACTCCGCCTTGAATTTTGGGAATTTGACAATCACCTGCGTACTGTAGAGCTTGTCTGTGACCTGCGAGAGCGGCACGGACTGCAGTTTCTTCTCCAGCTGCTGCAGACCTGTCTTGCTCTTCGGAAGAATTACCAGCATGGACAAGTCACTGTCCGCATAAGGCATTTCCAGCGCCGTGGCGTCAAGATCGGGTAAATCAGCGTAACGGAAACGATCTTTCAGGTTCATCATTGGCACATTTACAGACTCATCATCGTTCAAATAGAAGAGTTCGGAGTGCGTTGCGTGCTTTGGAAACTTGTGCACCCATGTGCCCTTAAAGTGAATGGCATTCACCAGCACCAGACGGGTCAGACCATTCAACGCTGACGGAGGAATGAGATTCTTTATAAGATTGTTTGTGCGCTCCTCCACCCAGCCATTAATGGCATTGGCCGCCTTTTCGCTTTGTCCAAAATCAATGTTCTCTGCGGAGGAGAGAAACTTTTGTGCCAGTAGTGCGTTATATTCGTCGTTCAAGGCATAGTCCTGCATCACATAGATCTTATTAGCTATGCGCAGAATGTTGCTCTTCTCGTAGATGGATAACACTCTGTTATAGCTCTCGGCGATTTCGGTGACATTGCTCGATACCAGACCAAGGCCTCGATCCAGTTCCTCCGCGGTCTGACCCTCGGCACCGATGCGGGCCATAGCGGCGCATGTTTGGATGGAAAAGGGCGAAAAAACCACATTCTCGTTGGACTTTAGCAGCGACAGCTTCCCATAGACATTGATGGAAAATATTGCCAGGCGGCGAGAGAATTCTGCCACGTCTCTGACGTCATTGGAGTCGTTCATGGCGTTAATGGAGGGGATGTATAGAACCAAGAGCGGTAGTAGTCCGCAAACTGTTGAATCAAAAAATCACACAAGAGCCATTATTGTTGTTGACATTTTATATACACGTATTTATGTAATTGTTGACATTAGTTCATATATACATACATACATACATATATATGTATATAGTATAAATGTATCACAAAGCAGTTGAGTCACCTCGACAGACGATGGTAATTATTCCACGTTGTTGTGCCGTTGTGTGCTTAATATTGCTCGGTGCTTATCACAGCAAAAAAAATATATTTGTTTTTATTTTAATTTATTACACTCTGCTATTGATTGCTCCAATGCGGCGTCAGAAGCTTCTTTTCACTTCTATATGCATACATATACTACAAATGAATATGTATGTATGTATATTTGTGTGCGTTCGAAATTGTTCTGCGCTCTGTTGTGAAAGTGTCGGCGTTTGAGCGCCAACTAAACGATGAGTGCACTTTGCCGCTCTAGCCATGAGGTATCCACAATTGTATTTAACTCAAACGGGTTTGTTTATCTTTTCTCTTATTTGTGCTTTCAAAGAGAATGTTTGCCGCGCTCTTTTTCTCCTAATGCATAACAATCACTTGCTTGTGCGTTCGCTCATTGATTACTTACCCCATGTTTTTGGGGAACGCATTTTATAGAACCGTTAGATCTTTCCAACCAGCAGTATGTTTGTTATGTTTTCACTTTCAGCTCAATGCTGTTTCACATTCAATATTTCCAACCGTTTCTATTGAAGTGCGTTTCAAGACTACTACTTGATAATACGTTAGTGTGTATTATTTGTTTATTCAATTTGTCGCCACTGGCCTTATCAGTAAAATGAATGAATTGTCACAGAAATTATAGCAAACAGTAAGGGTATTCCTGATTGCTGCTTACAATTCAATTTTGCTTAATCTAAATGAAAACTTATGACTATTTTCGACTTTATTTGATTTTGTTAAAATAATAAAAATGATTTAAATGGTTCCTCCAGCAGCCTAGATAAGATTTTAGAATCTCCCCACGAGGTGATTTTGGCTTAGCAATATGTGTGCCCGTATTTTCCGAAGTTTTGTTGGCAAATTGCAAATCAAATCTAAAACAGCAACTCGTAATAATACCATAAATATACTTAGCATTTTCCTTGAGTATACTGGGATTTTTGAGCAAATAAAAAACGTCGTAGAGTGGGTTGATGGTATGTAAACTTTATTTGAATTTTGATTCAAGAACTATGAATTTTCTTTCAATTCTATTGCAGCGCTTTCGTTTGGTACAACTTTCCAGACAGGTGTTTCCGGTAGGGGCTGTACACAATTTTCCAAGGAAGAGCACGCTGCCCTTTTCCTGGTATATCGAATAAGAGAAGGGTCTTCTGCTTTGAAGGATATGGGACTATCTGGCTCAATATCCAGTGCAGAATATTCAGTTAAAACCATTTCTAAATAAAATAGAATAATTTTGAATAATAAATTCATTCGATTCATTGATTCAAGAAGTTACTAAACTGTAAGTCCCACGTTTTTGACTCATAATAGGTCTGTGTGGCCTATCTAGGGGTCCACAAATTCACTTTTGGGTTTGCTTTAAGTGCTTCGAGTTACAAGTTAGATAAAAGGCTAAGTAATAGACCTTTAATTCTTGGAATTCCGTTTTTTTTTACAGGGACAATGTTTTTTGTGCTTCTTCTCGCTGAATGACACTTTAAAATTCCCAGCAAATAAGCAGCCGCTGTGATTACGGATCGCATAGAAGAATGGATGGTTCGCAGTAAATGTAATTGGCTCCGGTTCTGGTAGGGGCATGCTGTAAAGCACGACCGCGGCAGCTAAAGTGATGAAAGAAGAAGGTTTGAGATAAAATGTTGCTTCACCTGATCAACAATTATGCAGTTTTTATGATAAAAAATTGATGGGAAGAATTCAAAAATATTTTCACATATATCCTAAGGCTCAAGCATTTAAAAAAGAAATCGTTATTTCATCCTCAATCACGAGACTTTCTTCTTTTTTTTTTACAGCGACAACGCTTTTTGGTTTTCTTTTCAATGAAAGACATTTTGTAATTTTCAGCAAAGAGGCAGCCGTTGGGATTACGGATCGCATAGAAGAATGGATGGTCCGCAGTAAATCGAATGGGCTGTGGTTCTGGTGGTGCCATACTCCTAGCCATCATAATAGCAGCTAAAGTGATGAAAGACAACAGTTAAGAGGTGGTTTGAGATTAGATGTTGCTTCGCCTGATCAACAGCTAGGCTGCTTTCTTGGTAACAAATTCACAGGGTTGAGAAGAATTCAAAAATATGTTCATAGATATCTCATGATTTAAGTATTTCTAAAAAAACTCATTCTCATTCTCAATCTCAATCACGAGATTTTCTTTTCTTTTCATACCGACAACGCTTTTTGCTCTTCAGTGAAATACATTTTATAATTCCCAGCAAAGAAGTTGCCGTTGTGATTACGGATCGCATAGAAGAATGGATGGTCCGCATTAAATGGAATTGGCTCCAATTCTGGTAGGGGTGTGCTGTAAAGCGCGACCATGGCAGCTAAAGTGATGAAAGAAGAAGAACATTGTCGCTTCGCTTCATCAGGAACTATGTGATACAAAATTAATGGGAGGATTTAAATATCGTAAGATTTAAGCATTTCAAAAATTTTCAATCACGAGATTTTCTTTTCTTTTTTAAGGAAAGACTTTTTGTAATTTCCAGCAAAGAGGCAGCCCTTGGGATTATGGATCACATAGAAGAATGGATGGTCCGCATTAAATCGGATTGGCTGCGGTTTCGGTGGGGCCATACTCCTAGTCATCATAATGGCAGCTAAAGTGATGAAAGACAACAGTTAAGTGGTGGTTTGACATAAGATGTTGCTTCGCCTGATCAATAGCTAGGCTGCTTTCTTGGTACAAAATTGACAGTGATGGGAAGAAGAATTTAAAAATATTTTCATAGATATCATAGGGATATTAAAAAGATCGTTATTTCATTTTTTCGTTTCACGAGATTTTCTTTTCTTTTCACAGCGACAACCCTTTTTTCTTTTCTTTTCAGTAAAAGGCATTTTATAATTTCCAGCAAAGAGGCAGCCGTTTGAGTTATGGATTGTATAGAAGAAAGGATGATCCGCATAGAAATATGTCAGTTTCGGCATTGGTGCATCCGCACTCTTAGTCTTAATAACGGCAGCTGTATCGAATGAAGCAGACAAAGAAAGTCAATTCTCACTAAAATATTAAATACTTGTATTTAAGAATTAGCAGTATTTGTGAAGAATATTACGATTTTCCGACCCGAGCAACTTAATACTTTTCAAAATTACACCTATTTAAAATTTCATCTTAATATGTAAACTCTTTCCCCAAAATGAATTTAATCCAAATGGGTTTAAACATATATACAACGTACTTTTGAACTTAGTTTTAAAAAAGTAGTTTATTGAAAAGGGTATTTTGAGCGTATTTTATGTCGACTTAAGTGTCAATTAATTGGATATTATTGAGACAAGAGTTGGTGGTGCGGATAGACGAAGTAAAGGTATTTTCCCGAGAGGTGATTTTCACGGTCTTAACATCTTTCCAGCGAAGAAAGGCACATTGTTGGAGTTTTTAATGACAAAGTAAAATGGTCTGTTCGCTATAAAGCGTTTTGGGGGGACATTGAAGCGCGTTGAGGTTATCTGCATGACCACAATAGCTAGAATAGATCCGATCATTATTAAAACACTTATACTACTATATATTAAACATTAACTGATTTCACAATCGGAATTCAGAATTTTATGAAATAAAATACACAAGCAATACAAAATTTTGGTTTTATTGGAATCGAAAGGTGTTGTACAAAACATTTACTTAACATAGTGGCCTCCAAAGAATGCTACATTTTGATCATTTCGTATAATAAAATAGAACGGTCTGTTAGCTATAAATTGCTTTGGCGGACGCTCCTCTATCAAAGTTCTTACCAACATCACAGCTATTCCTGCGTACAATGTAATAATGAAGATACATATATAAAGGGGCTTAGCTTTTCGATGTTAAACTATAGCATTACACTTAGATTATATGATCAGCATGCAGTAGATTTTTAACATTGAAATAGCGAAGCTCTTTAATTGAACCATGCATATTGTAATGAAGAATGAGATTTACAATCACTATTAAATTTTGGCAGTTCACTTTGAATGTTAGAATGCTATGGAGATTTTTGGTATTACATTTAAATTCTTTTGAAATGCGTTCTAATTTTAAATTTAAATGTTAATATAATATAAGTTGGATTTAATTTTATCATAGCTGTACTGTTCCTCTTAAGTTTTTATGGAAGTTCAGCGAGTCAAGTGTTAGTTTCTACAGAATTCGAAAGTAAGCCTTTGAAAAAATGAGCTCCATTTTGTCGGTCGAATATGGTGTACTGGAATGGTCTATTGGCAATGAATCTCATATATTTTTCTTCAAAGATCATGCGGTTTTCCAAAGCGATCCCTGTTTACGTTTTACACAATAAAAAGAGAGTGGTAATAAGGAATAGTCAAGCAGTTGGTATACAATTTTGTACAATTTATGAAAAGTCAAATGGCAGCTTTACGATATAGTCAACCGATGTCTATAAAACTTAGTTGAGGCACAATTAATGAGGCACATAAATAAATATAAAACGGTATTAAGTGACGCATTATACAGAACCTACAAATACTAAATTTGCCTAGGATTATTATAAACAAAAAAGTAATGCTGGTAAGGATTATGTTTTCACATATATCGGACCAATGGCAACTATATAAAATAAAGAAGCTATATATAATTCGTAATAACCTTACTCGGCATATGGATAATAGAAGTTTATGTAACTACTTAGTTTGGTTTCTCTAGCTGTAATAGTTTCAAAATTTTCGGTGATCATACGAATGGGGATTTCGTCTCGTTTAAGCACTACTCTTATTCTTCTTTTTGTTGCATATTTAAAAGGTAGTTATTCTAAAGTTCTACAGTTCTAGTTCTCAAAAGTTGAGGCTTTAAAACCCCACGCTAGTTTTTGCAAACTGTTTTTGTGACGTAAGATGACCTTTTTTCCGCTAATGCCTTTTTTCATTTGCTGATAAGACGACTAATTATTTATTTTTATTTCATTCAAATTATCAGCAAGATGAAAATAGGGTGCGAAATGGGGTGGGGTGGGTAAACACAAATAATTCTGATGAAACAGTGAGAATAATTTTAGTTTTCTGTGTTGTATTATTGTATTATTATGTGATAGAAACCAATTTTAATTCCAACCAATTAAATTATTTATGCAACTTACCAGTGGCTGCAGCTGCTTCAGTACCTTCCTCATTAACATCGATGAAGGCTTTGTGTATGATTTGAGAAACCTTCAATGCCTCAGGACTTTGCAATATATTGCCAAATTCGGCATTGTCAGCGAATAAGCGCACCATTCCAAGCTGAAAATGTAATGTAAGTATAAATCTAGTGAGGTATTGTAGTTTAGGTACCGACCTTTTTGAAAACAGGCGTCAATTCCTGCGAGAATTCGGCTTTAAATTTGGGAAATTTGACAATAACTTTCGTGGAAGATAATTTGCTTGTGATATCAGACAATTTCACGGTCTTCAATTTTTGTTCTAGACTCAACAGGCCCGTCTTTTTGTTTGGCAATATGACTAGCATGGACAGATCACTATCTTTGTAGGGCATTTCAAGGGCCTGAGCGTCATATTCCGGCAGTTCGGCGAAGCGGAAATCATGTCTCACGTTCATCATTGGCATTTTTACTTTATCGACGTCGTTGAGATAGAAATCCTCGTCCTCAGTGTTTGCTTCATCGAATTTAGTCTTCCATTGGCCTTTAAAGTGTATGGCATTAATTAGCACTAGACGCGTGTCTGCGTTCAATACATCGGGGCTTATAAGATCCTTAATTAAATTATTTGTCTTTGATTCAACCCAGGCATTAATCGTAGAGGCAGCTACACTGCTCTGTACGAAATTAATGTTTTCCGGCTTAGATAGGAACTTTCTGGTCAATATATTTTTGAACTCTTCGCGGGCACTGTACCCCTCCTTGATATACACCTTGTTGGCTATTTTCAGCACCTTGCTCTTCTCGTAATCGGCCATCACTTGGCCATAGGTATCGGCAATTTCCTTCACATCACTGGAGACAAGCTTAAGGCCAACATCCATTTCAGTGGCAGTCTCTCCCTCAGCGCCAATACGCACCATCGCTGCGCAGGTTTGTATGGAGAACGGCGAGAAAATGATGTTTGTATTTTGATTTAACTGCACCAATTCCGAGTATACATTGCGGGAGAACGTGTCCAGGTTCTTGGCAAACTCCGTGTTGGCCATAATGTGCGGGTAAGAGGTAACGGCAGTCAGAACTAACAGCCAAACGTGCCGACGAGATTCTTAAATGAATAAAAGTTGGACAAGAAGACCTTTCAATACAGCGTTTTAATAAGTAGGCTATAAATTATATGTAAACATAGGCAATGCTCTGCGTGCTTTTTGACGACATTATTGCTTGTAATATAATTTTGAAAAAAGCACCACAAACGAGCTCGCATTTCTAGAGCCAAATGCGCCACATAGATAACGACCTACACCTCGCTTGATAACGCTTTTTAAACTAATCTTATCTTGTTGCTCCCGAATGTGATTCACACTCTCGTGAATCATGGCCCTACAGCCACGACCCAGATATTCAGAAATTAGTGTTACTTTAGCCATCGAGACCGTGTTTAGGAGTCTTATTTAGAGCTCTCTCAAATGTTTCTTTTGCAAACAGTTTTCTCACCAGTTGGATAATTTAGCAGTGCGCATATCACTATCTTTTGTTCTGCGTCCAGACCGTGTTGCTTGATATATACTTAGTATCTATAGAACACGATTCACAGTGCTAATAAATCGATCGGGTTCGACTGACTGTTGCCTGCATATTCGCTTTATTAGCTGTTGGTCTGACAAAGAAAACTAAACCAATTGTTTTGGGACACCATGCTACACAAAATAATGTACAATGGTGTCTTTTATACGAGTAAAAAAATACAGAAACGGAAAAAATATGACAAATGTTGCAAAGAAACATTCAATAATGTGCTTCGTCATTTTCAGTGAAACTGATTGTATGAATGTTTTCTTTTAATTATAACTAACTTTTAATCATTGTTTACACTAGGCTATAATTCTTTTTGTTTTTTAATCAGCTCACACTTGCGAACGCCTTCAGTTAACTATTGTGATGTTTTTCAGATTTTTAACAACTCACTCGAACTTGGTTGGGCCATTGTGCCTAAAATAAAAACGCTCGATAAAGGCTTGCAACTGAACTGTTCGATCGAAATATGTTTTATGACTTATAAGCATTTCATTAAGAGTCTGCTTTTTATACTTATGCACAATTTTAATCTCCCTCAGAATTAATAGTGAATGCATCTGTTCTCGCGTAGAGAGGTAATACGTAATTACCGTGCAATGAGGGCGTAGTGTCAGAGATAATGATTTTTTTTCTGATAATCCCATTTGCTCTGACATTGAGTTGGGCGTTGCATTTCCAAAAATTAACAAATACGCTTTCTAAACCGTTTTTGGAATACATTGTCAAATGAATTTTAAATTTGTTTGATCATTTTTTGAAGAGAGTTTCAAAATTTTGTCTCACAACAACAGGTTTGTACGTCGCTCGCTCTAAGAATGGCTGGAGTCGAAGAGAGCCGTAATGTATTCGCTCGGGACTTATTTGGTGCGGTTATTAATGGCGAGGCACAGCTAAATGATTCTGGTGTCAATGTCATATTATCGCCAACGTCCATTCAAACCAGCCTAGCCCTGGCCTATATGGGCGCGGCAGGAACGACAGCCGAGGAGCTGCGAAACGGCCTGAGGCTGGGCGCCGGCAACAAAATAGAAATTGCCAAAGATTTTGGTGATTTTTGGAAAAAAGTCATCTCATGCAGCGGCAAGGGAACGGAACTGAAACTGTTGAATCGTTTGTACATGCACAGCAATTTGAAATGGAAAGCCGATTTCAATGAAATCGCCGTTGAATATTTCCACTCGACAGCTGATTCGCTAAAATTTGAAGACTCGCTGGAGGCGACACAGCAAATTAATGCTTGGGTGGAACGGGAAACAAATAATAGGATAAAGCAACTACTGCAACCGGATGCCGTAGATGCCAGCACGAGCGCCATCATAATAAATGTCCTATATTTCAAGGGAAAATGGAAAATACCCTTTATGCCGGAGAGTACCTTGAGAGATGACTTTTATGTGGATAATGCAAAACATATTGAGGTGGACATGATGTATCAGGATGATAAGTTCTTGTATGCGGATCTGCCCGAATTGAATGCCAAAGCCCTGAAGCTGCCCTATGAAGAGTCAGACCTGTTCATGCATATACTGCTGCCCAATACCATTTGTGGTCTTCCCAGCCTTGAGAGCAACCTGATGAAGCTGAACTTACAAGAGATCGATAAACAGATGAGCCTGGAGCATGTCGAGGTTGCAATGCCAAAGTTTACAATAGAATATGATATCGATCTTCGGGATCCGCTGCGGTCGGTAGGTTATAGACAGTTTATGTTTATTGAGAATCAAAATATTTTCATTTATAGCTGGGCATCTCGGAGATGTTCGATAATGGAGCAGACTTAAGTGGTCTATTTACTGAGCGGAGAGGTCAGAAGATTTCTGCTGTCTGTCATCGCGGCTTTATTGATGTGAACGAGGCGGGATCAGAAGCTGCTGCAGCCACTTGTAAGTGCAATCGGTTCACATATGTATACTTTCTGATTATTCATTATAATTTTTCAGTTGCTAAAGTTGTTCCAATGATGCTGAACATGAATCAGAAATCATTCAAAGTGGATCATCCATTTGTGTTTTACATTCGTAACAATAACGCAGTGTTCTTTGCTGGACATTATGTGAGACCTCCGAGGCCGATTGATGAGGATTCAATCTATACCCGCCCGAGCGTTTTAAGCAGCTCTAATGTTCCTGCATCCAGTAGACGAACGACCCCCATTTCGATTAAATAAAATTTGAAATTTAACATATCAATGCATTCTGTATACCTATTAAGAGTTTGTAGTGCCATCTCTTTATGGTCATTCTGTCCTTGGACAGTTCATGCCATTGGGCTTATCGGGTAAATATAAGCACATTTTCTAAAATGTGCATACAAACATGATCGTTATTTCGGCAGATTTGCGATTATCAGCATGCAAAATAAATTCCTTTGTTCAGCCAGCTTAAGTATTTAATAGCTCGTAATAACCGCTGTGGCGGCAGTCTTCAACATAATCCCTAGAATAACACAGTTAGGCAACGGCAGAATATATGGACAGATTTAGTAAGTGTTGATGCATAACGAACGCAATAAATACATATATTAGCCAACAAAATGCGGACACTCAACAGATATTGCGCTTTGCGGCACATTGTTGCTATTGCTGCTGCAGTCCACGGCCGCCAGCAAACTCTTTGAGGTCCTGTCGGAGAAGTATGCCACGGAGAACCTGGTGATATCGCCCTTCTCCATAGGCAGTGCTCTGACACTGGCCTATATGGGCTCTGGTGGGCAGACAGCGGAGGAGTTGCGGCTTGCTTTGAACTTCAAAACGTCTGACAAATTGCGGACGGCAATGCAGTACGAGAACTTCCTGCGGACTCTTAAGCAACCGGCTGCCAATGATGGACCCACATTGATGGTGGCCAATCGTATTTTCACCAACCACCGCATTAGCCTGCAGCCGAGCTTCAACCACTTAGTTGGAACCTATTTTGATGCTCAGGCACAGCCACTGAATTTTGGTGATAAGGTTGCGGCCGCTGAGCAAATAAATAATTGGGTGCGACAGCAAACTGCACATAAAATTGATGAAATGATTTCAGCCGAGGATTTGGATGAAGAGAACACTATAGCACTCATCCTAAATGCCATTTACTTCAAGGGCAAGTGGTCGAAATCATTTAAGGCCAGCAACACCATCGCGAAGGACTTCAAAGTGAATGCCCACGAAACCGCTCCCATCTCAATGATGAAGAAAACGTCCGAGTTTAAATTTGGATACTTAAATGAGTTGGATGCCACCGCTGTGGAACTTCCATATGCATCGTCCAACATAAATATGCTCGTCATCCTGCCCAACCAAGTTAATGGATTGCGCACCTTGGAGCAGAAACTTGCCTTTGTTGATTGGAGCACGATCAGCAGCAACTTACACAGCCAACAGATTAAATTGGAGTTGCCCAAATTTAAGGCAACGTTTTCGACTGATCTAGCTAAAATATTGCAACAGGTATGCTTGAAATACGTTTCATATATTTGTACATATATAAAATAAAATATTTTCTAAACGTTTAGCTTGGCGTGAGGCATTTATTCTCTGATGCTGCCGACTTAGGTGCAATGTTTTCCTCCAGCCTTGCGGTAAAAGTCGATAAAGTAACCCACAAGGCGTTCCTGGAAGTTAACGAGGAGGGTGCTGAAGCGACCGCTGCTACCTGTAAGTGAAAGTTTGATAAACCAAATAATCCCCTCCAAATCTTATACTACTTCTCTTAAAGCTGTGCATATGGTGGCTAAGTCGGCAATGGCGTACACGCACGTCCCAGAATTGATCGTAGATCATCCCTTTGTGTTCGTGATACGCGATGAAAGAACTGTTTTCTTTGTAGGCCACGTTGTAAAGCCCGAATGATATCCAATAACCAGCGTATATGAATAAATTTAATAAACGCAAGCACACTCATACTTTGAACCCGATTTGTTATCATTTTATTTGTCACCAAGAAAATATTTTGTTAAGTACGAAAAATGAATGATTAATGCATTTTAGGCGAAGTGGCAGTTATACTACAAGTAGTTCTCAAATATTGTAAGTGATATCTAGTTCGTGTGGCTTGTTCATTAATCTAGTTCGTACGATCAACTACGATTACTGCGTTATCGTTATATTAATTCACCTTTTGTGGTTGCTGGGGAACAGTGTTGCCAGCTTTTGAGAAAGAAAAAAGCTGTTTTTGACAGCAAGAAATGTTAAATAAAGCTTATAATTAAACAAGTAAAAAAGCTAAAGTCGGGTGTCCCGACTTTGAAATACTCTGTACATATGTTTACAATAATTATAGAAAATAAAAAAATTAAGAAAATAAAAAAAAAATTTGATCGATTTTACCTCTCTCGGTATTTGAACTCACGTAAAGGGTTTATAATTGCACATTTACATAGCAATTGCGTCTGTGTGAGTGTATGTATGCCTATGCGCATCTATTCGTGTCTGTGTAAGCATTTTCGCAGTCAACCAAACAGCAACATCAACAACAGCCGCGGGCAGCGCTTGAGCTGCGCTGCAGCAGCGCTGCATCAGCAAATATATTTATGGCTATAACTTCTTGGTAAATCGGTCTATCATAATGAAATTTGGCATACGGACACATAATAACCAACTGGGGGTATTTCCAAAATTTTAGTTCGAAATTCCAAGAATTACGGGAGTTACGATTTGCGGGGTAGAGGAGGGAGGGAGGGGAATTCCAAAATATACATTTTCTGCGTATTCACATAAGGCATCTGGGACTAAAATTTGGTGTTCCTAGGTCTTATAGTCTCCGAGATATAGGCGATTATACGAATGGAAAATCGGGAAAACCCCCATAGGGGGGAAGTGGGGGGGAAAATCAAAAAAATAAAACAAACTCGTATAGAATACACACATAACACATCTTTGTGCAAAATTTGGTGTCTCTATCTCTTATAGTCTCTGAGATCCAGGTGTTCATACGGACGGACAGACGGACAGACAGACAGACAGGGCTAGATCGACTCGTCTCGTCATGCTGATCAAGAATATATATACTTTGTGGGGTCTGCCACGCCTCCTTCTGCCTGTTACATTTTTCAGCTCCCGCAAACCTAATATACTCTTGTACATTTCATGTACAGAGTATAAAAAACAAACACAAAAAGCTACCTTTCTTGTTACAAAAAATGCTTAGAAAAATGCATTTTTCACGGTTTTTTTTAACAGTCTTGGTAAGCACTTAATGCGCCCATTTTGTTCTTTGTCGTCGTATGCGCCTTCAAAAAAGGTAGTTCAAAAGTTGCTCAATATTTTTCTGTTGAAATGCCCCCATAGAACGTTTGTATTTCTTTGTAAGCCAAACGTCCGGCATTCTTACGGCATGAATGTATTCTCATCTTTATAAATGGTTTGAAATAGTGGTCATTGGCAAATATTGATAAAAAATAATGATAATACTGGCACATATCCGGAAAAATTGTATTTTTAAAAAACCAAAGTTTCCGCTTCCAACAATTTCAAATTTAAGGCAGGTGAAGCTTGTTTTTTTTATTGTGATTCACCCCTACACTCCTCCACAATTCGTGTTTTTTCATAGCTCCCGTAAGTCTTGGAATTTTGAACTCAAATTTGGCATATACTTGTACAAGTTTGTGGTTATCTGTCCGTATGCTAAGTTTCATCAAGATATGTAGGTCAATTCTGAAGAAAGTTATAGCCATAAATAAAATAAATATATGCTGTTGAAACTGTACATGAACCTGTCTCCACTTTTGTATACAAGTATACATATGTATTGAATAATTTGTATTTAATTTAATTAACTAATTTAACTCATATAACTTTTCTTTCTCCTTTCTCTTTCCCGGTTTCTCTATCTCTCTTTCCTTCTTTCTTTTTGTCTTTTCCTCTTTCTCTTTCTACTTCTACTTCTTACTTCATCTAATTAGTTCTTAAATAGAATTAATTTTCCTCCTCTATCTACTTTTTGTTTAGTTTTTTAGGTCTATAATGTCTCTGACCACTGTGAATCGGGGTATTTCACTGTCGGGCTTGACCGACTGTAGCGTTCTCTCTTGTTTTTTCTTAGAAATGGGGCTTGGGGTTATCGTGCTGCGTGCGAATTGGGAGACACGTATACGCAGCTTTTTCCAAGAGCGCGCTAAGAAATTAAAGTTTAGATTAAATAATGCACAATGCTTTTAAAATAATAGTAATAGTGCGCCATAATAATCAATGTATGGTCGACTTCAGATAGCCAAACAATTTTTCTAACGATTTAGGAAAGGGGCTGGACTGGCAACCAAATTTTCCCCCACCGTGTTGGACATTTTCCTTTTTCTCTTTCTGTTTCCTTTTTTCTTTCTGCCTCACTTCATCTAGATAGCTCTTAAGTAAAATTAACTTTTCTCAAGTTCTGTATATTTTTTAGTGGTGTAGGTCTATAATGTCTCTGACAACATATGGCTGTAAATCGGGGCAGAGCTGGCCAAATGTCAAATAAAACTCCCCCAACGCGTCGGAGGCATTAATAGACATTAATGTATAGTTATTATTGATGAATGCTTAATTTGTTGTTGATAAATTAAATAAATAAATGTAATGCTTTATTATTCCTGAGGAAACACACTCTCTTAAAACTGATATGTAATTCCAAGAAAAACCCCAATCAAAATATTGCTTGGTTTTTTAATTATTTAATATGAAAAATGTTTGAGTCCAAACAGGGCTGGCTTATCGCGCCCGCATTTGCATATAATGCTGTTATCGCGTCCAAGTTCATACTATAAATTGAATTTGCGAGTCGAAATTTTGTTCAGTTGTATATTTTGTTTGTGCGGATAATGGTCAAAATAAGTAAGTTCACAAGTTTTGAACACGTCCTTCAAAAGTAATTCTGGAAATAATTATTCTCTTCATTCAGTATTAATCGTCTGCGGCTTTTTATGCCTGCAAGTAGCTGCTGAAGTGAACTTAAGCGACAAACTGTTAAGAGAAAACTCGCAGGAAAATGTTATATTCTCACCATTTGCTGCGGGCGTAGGCTTGTCTATGATCCTGATGGGTGCTGGTGGAAAAACTGCCGAGCAATTACAAACTGCTCTTAACTTTGGCGATGTGAATAGGCTGGAAATTGCTGCTCACTATAAAGCTCTTCTGCAGTCCTTAAAATCGAAGAGGGAAATGGATCCCAAGATAAATGTGGCCTCAGGCATTTTTGTGAGCGACAGGTTCAGGCTGAACCCCGCCTTTAATGAAATCAGTAGAAACTACTTTGGTGCAGAAGCACAGTCCATTAGTTTTCATACACCACAAAATGCGGCTAAGACGATCAACTCTTGGGTGGCCTCGAGAACAGATAACATCATTAGGAATATCGTTTCGCCCATTCAAATTAAATCTACGACTGAGATGTCCATTTTAAATGCTGTCCATTTCAGTGGGTATTGGGCCAGTCCATTCGATCCAGATGAAACACAACTAGGAGATTTCTATATGACCAAAACAAACAAAGTACCTGTTGAAATGATGAATCAAATAGCTGGATTTAACTTTGCTGACTTGGCCAATTTGAAAGCAACGGGTGTACAAATGAGATACCTGAATTCCCCCATCTCAATGTGGATTTTTATGCCAAATGAAATCGACAAATTCGGACAGATGGAGTCGCAGCTTATAGCTTCTGAGTGGAATAAAATAACAGCACAATTTTCTACGCGCCAAGTGAATCTAACTCTGCCAAAGTTTAAGTTTGACTTCGATGTAGACATGGTTCCCCATTTAAAGGAAGTGAGTACTTGTTTTTATTCGGAAAGATCATCTATGAATGCATACATTATACTCGTATACTAAATTTCTCAACAGCTGGGTATTAACGATCTATTCGACCCCAGAAAAAGCGACTGAACGGAGCTATCCTCAGAAAAATATCTTCCTTTGTATGCATCGCAGGCGATTCACAAAGCGATTATTAATGTAAATGAAGAGGGCACTGTAGCAGCCGCTGCAAGTAAGTTTTAGGAAATACTTTATATTTACAATAAGTGGATTTGATAAGCACTTCGAATATATTGTAGATGACAACTCAGGAGGTGTACTTTGGCGGGATCTCCAACAATTTGATGTAAATCGACCTTTCTATTTCGTCATACGGAGCGATCAAACGATCTTGTTCGAAGGACATGTTGTTAAATTTTAAAATATCCACTTTACTTTTTCATGAATAAAACATAAGAGCAGACAACATTATGGAAGGTTGAATTCTTAAATTCATAAATTCTGGGTCCACATTTGATATATTAATATTCTATAGTTTCTATATTTCATCAAATGCACTTACGTTTTCCACGTGCCCTTTGGTTTGATTTATTTAGAGAGACGTTAGTAGCATTGATAAAAATTAGACTTTGTTGTTAGAAATAAATAAATGCTATAACTCCCAGCTAAGGCTAAGAAGAGTGCTAAAAAAATCCTTGGCGCCATTCTCAATTGAAGTATCCTTGGTATTAACCTATCTCGTATAAGCTGGCTAAGCAGCAGCACAAGAGTAGATTTTGCAAATAGCACCGATGCAGATATATTGCCATAACTGATTGGATGGACAAACAAATTAATTTTGAGATAACGTTGGAGCCGATTCAATTTCAGGTTTGGGTTTTTAGTTAAAGTATTTCAAAGAATAGCTGGGTGTGCTTAAAATCTTGACTTTAACTGGAAGATTCAGAGCCATTGCGAGTCTCTAGAGCTTAGCTCAACACAATCAGTACATCAAAACTCAGATCGAGAGTACAAAAAATTGATGAGTGGACGCACAGCTTTAAAGTGGATCTTCCGTTTTTCTTCGCTGTCAAGGATAACCAAATTATTTACTTCAAGGGCAATGTGAATACGTGTAGATGTGTCAGCACAACCCATCGCTTAATATTAAATGCCTTCAATATAAACTACCTTAGCCTCAAAGCAATAAATTCAGGGAAACTCAATAAAACGCGTGGCTTCTGCACTTGGCTGCTCCTGTTGACAAGATGGCCAAAGCAGAGGCGGATGGAGGCAGCGCCAGACGCTGGGGTTGTGTCGACGGAAGTGTCTACTCAGGCGGAAGTTAATCAAGACAACCGCCGACAATCTTGTGCAACATTCAATGTCAGAGGCAGTGCATCAAAATATCAACATAATACCAAGTCTTGGGACAGGTGCATATCGTTTGTTGCTCTGGTCTATCCTTATTTTAACTAAAAGCCAAAATGAGAATTTTCCTCTTCACACTGACTTTGATCGTCTATTAAAGCATTCGCAAGGCTAACTACATATGTGTTGCAATTTTGTTTTGTTTATTCCCAGTCGCCTCCTTTTCATGGCCAATTCCCATGCTCTGCCTCCATGTGCATGTCAGAAAACACAGCCCAATAAATCAAATTTACTGCAGCTATCAATCCCCGGCACAACAAATGTAACAAACCAAAAAAAAAAGAGAAGCACATGCCCAATTTGAATGGCAGTGGTAAGTGGCCAAATATCCTGCAGATACGGGAAACACACACACACGTAGATAAATCAACATTTGGCCAAGCAATGTACTGCAATTGTCCATCACTGCTGTACAGTCATTTTTGAACCTACTTCTTCCTACTGAGAGTAAACCTAGCAATCAATTTGTCTCTTTCTTCCTTTTCTTGGTATACATTTTTTCTGGTATTGCATTTTTTTTGGCAATTTCCTTTTCCTAAAAAAAGGCTTGGAATCTCTACTGCCATTCTATTGCCTACTTTCGATGCACTGCATAGGGATTAGAGATCGAGTGCAGCCTCCTTCGAAGTGTTCAGTCTACTTATCAACAACCAAACCGCTAAGTGGCGCAAATTTTTTTTTTATTGCTTAAGAGAATGGGAATCAAATTTAAGGAAGGGGAGAAACAAATTGCAGGTATTTAAAAAAGCATTATTGAAAGGAAATTTTCATTACGAGGCGAATGCATTTTTATGCCCTGAATGCAACTAATTTTGTCTAAAATTTAGATTTAACATGAGATTCCTATATAGACTAACAGCTTAAATTGGGTCTCAAGTTTTCTTTTATGGTGTAGGTAGAAGGGGTTTGAAGAATTTGAGCTCCAAACGGGGGAAAAGGGACTTCATATATTGTATGAAAAGTCATAATTTTTCAACTGATCAAGTTTTAAAAATGTAAAAACCTAAAGGTAGATGGATTTATATGTATATAATATATGTAATTTCAATGAAAATCATATAATCAAAATTCTGCAATACTACTATATAATAATATGTAATATACTATATAGTGTAGCAATAGCTGCTCTTATTTGCATTTACAAACCTGATGACTAGTTTGACTAGTTTGACTAGGTTAGTCAAAAATTAAAAATAAATTTGTTCTTTCTCTCTTTTTAAGGAAGGTATTTATGAATCATAAAAGTATTGGTGGAAGAGGGGGAGGGGGTGGGGGGAAGGCTGTCAAAAAAAAAGAAGTATTTCCTGCTCTACCTATGTTAATAAAATAAAATAATTAATGAAGGTACTTTCGTCTCAATGTGGGTGCTTGCTCATTTGGAATTTGTTGAGCCAGTTTGTCGGAAGCGTGTCAGCATAGTTAGTGGTCGTCGGTTCCAAGGACTCGTTAAATTTTGTTCTGGCGCTAAGTTTGACATTGGAAATCCCGCTAATTGGCCGCTAACGTCGTACAGTGGTTACGGTCGTGTGTACGTCAGCAGGCGGCATTTACGTTTACGGCAAACGCTTCCCATTTCCGTGACAGAAATATCTGAACACAGAACAGAAATTGAAATGGGAAAGGTACTGCAACAACTGGCAGGCTTCGTACCAAACGCAAATGCAAATAACTGCGAAACGGAAGCAAACGCAATGCTTTGCTCGGCATCCAATAACAAATTTAATTCGAGTATGCCAGCAACAGCAGAAGCAACAGTGAAGTCAGTACTCGTACTAGGCAATAAGGCAAAGGCAATGAAATTGGCAGCTGCGTTGGCGCATTGGTAACATCATTATCAACTGGAGTGCCAGAAAACTAGACACGCTTCGTTGGCCCCCCCCACTCGTACCTAACGTGTTTCCACACATAAGGATTTAGTGTTTGCCATTCAACCTTTTCCCCCAAAACTGACAGTTTACATTTCGTCTGAAATGTATGCGAAACTGTCAGTTGCAAATATCATGTCATTATTCAATTGAACTTTGCCACCGAGTGCTGCCTCACATTAGTTCTTGCACTTATTACCAAATAATTGGAAAACTAATTATGCCTTTGTGCCGAGTCACTCGCAATTTAAGCGCAAACTTTCGTTTAAATTTTGTTTGCGCTTAAAGGAAATGTTCAAGGTGAAGGTTAAAAAAAATACAAATTCAATAAATTAGTGACCGCCAACGAGCGGATGTTCTAAGTGCCGGAAGCAATTCAGGTAAAGTTCATTACCAAGAGAGAGAGAGAGAGAAAAAAAACATTAATATACAGCTAGAGGTGTTCCGGCCTTCAACATCAAGAGCACAATTTGATGAAAATGTATTACATGATAATCTCAGTTTAGTGGTAAATCTTTTGATTGATCAAGTCAGAGGTAGGCCCTTGAATAATTGAAAGACAGAGTTGTTTATTTAGACTATAACAAACTGTACATTATTGAATATCACTCTGCTTTTAACCAAATAATTTACACAGCACATATGTATATGCAATATAAATGTTTAGGGGAAATATCAAGAACATTGTACATTAATTTATCCCAAAAAGTGACACAATTAAAGCCAGCTGGGGCATTTTTAGACCATTACTTGGATCTGGCGCCAAGTAATGCAATAGTAATGTGTTTTAAATTAAATCAATTTCAGGTGTAATTCGAGACTGACACGTTTCCATCCGTGTACTCTAAAGTTGCAGTTAGTTTTTTGGTAGATATTTCAATGAACTGTCTAAGATTATAAGTACTTATATTACCGAAACTGAAACGATTATTCAAGCAAATCACACATTAAATAGTTCAACTACATTTTGTTCTTCAACAAAAATTGTTTACATATTTCATCAATCCGGATTTCTCATACAATGATTATATTATTTAGAAGAAACATAAAAAGGGAAATAATCAAAATTGAAAACATATTTAATCTAACATTCTAAATAGTTATCCAGCTTGAATGCTGGATGTAAATATACTAATTGGTGCCAAGCCATACTATACGCTGTTTTAGCACCTTTTGCAAACCGCATTATTATTATTATACGATTTGAGAAGTTAAACGAGTATTAAGACAGATTATTTTATAAATCTTGCTGTAATTAAAATTTGAAGGATATCTTATATCTTGTATACTCTGTTTGCATCGCTAGGTAAATAAATGTTGGATCTGACTTAGCTAGATGCAGTAGCATATTTCTCTTTGTATTTCAAGATTTAAAATCTAAGAACTGGTTTTGGTTGTAGTGAAATCAATTACCGTTAAATGCTGTGTTTTCTTGAACTACAATAATTACTCAAGCTTTTACATACAATTATGGATAAAAGATTTTATATTTATTTTTCCCACTTGCCCTTCTGCAAATATTTAATAAATAACAAATATCATCTAAATTTATAAAATCATCTTAATGTTTATCGGTTTGGATTGAAAAGAGGTACAGCTTTATTAAATAGATTTAAATATCAAATTAGTTTAATGTAGGTTGAGCCATTTTCGAAATTTCGGCGTTCATCCATACAGACAGACGGACAAAATACTTAATTACTTTTTACAATTCATAATTATTTTATGGGCGTAGAACTGTAGAATAATTACAAATATCATCTAAATTTATAAAATCATCTTAATGTTTATCGGTTTGGATTGAAAAGAGGTACAGCTTTATTAAATAGATTTGAATATCAAATTAGTTTAATGTAGGTTGAGTCATTTTCGAAATGTAGGTGTTCATTCATACAGACAGACGGACAAAATACATAATTACTTTATGGCTATCTACAAAAAGTGTAACCCGTACCTGGCTGATGGAACTTGGGCCTGGTTTGGAGAAATGGAATCTAGCTTTTATTACAAGATTAAATTAGGTTTGTGGCGTCAAAATAATTGGCTACCAGTTCCGCACATCGCATTGTCCTCTTGTTGTTTTTGCCAATTAGTTTCGCACCAAATGCAAAAGTTTATATAATATGTATGTATGTACTTATAAATA